CTCATGTGCATCATTAGAACAGGGGTAAAGTCATGTAACACTGGTTCAAAAGGACCACAGTTTGGTTTTGACAGTGTCCAAAGCTCTTTGAATTAGCAAGAAGGGAGGGAGAGTGATTTGGTTTTCAGTTTGTGTGGCCGCTGACGGTTCAACTCTTGTCAGCATTTGTTCGTGGCACACAAAAATTGCATTTAACACGAAAACCACCACCATGCATAACGCCTCATCAGACATCAGCAAATCTGGCCAGTCTTCAGCTCAATGAGCATCTAGAATTAACTTCACAGTTGTGACGTTGTTTTTTCTTTGCCTTCTTGTGTTATTGTGTTGCTACCACAGAAGGCCATTGTACAGTTAGCCCACACACGGTTGCGGTTCACACACCTATTGTCTTCTGTTATTCGCTCAAAAAAACTCATCTATTCGCATTTCTCTATGTATTTTTGTATTTTTTCCCCCCTCATTGTATTATCATAATATTGCACATATTTCAGCCTTTTTAACCATTCAACGTGCGTTTTAATTTCTGTGCCACGCACATACGTGAATGAATGTGTTCAACTTTGTCACTCAACACTGAGATGAAGAGAATGAGGTGGTCTCTCACTCTCTTCCTGCAGTTTTCCCTTTTTATTTGATTGATGGTCACACTGGTTCGACGTGCATGTGGGACTGATTTTCACTGGCTCCCGCATGACCACAAATTCTAACACATGCACACAGACACACAGGTTCGAGCCATATGGAAACACAGGGAATGGCAGATAATCATACAGCTGCAGTTGCTGTTTATATCCTGTCAGTTCCGCGGATAGAAAAACATCAGATATATGCAGAGAAAGGAAAAACTAACTTTGCACTGTTTTTGCAGAAAAATCTGCAGTCTGAACTTTTCATTCTCACCTTTGACAACAAAAACAAACACAGAACTGCACTAATATAGGATGTAGACCCAACAATGCTAATTTAGATCAGTGAAATCATTCATTGATACAGTCCTCTATATGGCACTCTTTGTCAGTAAGATAATTTCTTAGTGACTAATGCATTGTGTGTTACATCAAAAATGATGAATGAATGATGAATCTTGATGAAGACTTGCAATGAGTGATACCTCGTGGCCCACCAGGATCAAGCAACAATCCATTAAAAAGGATACTTAATGATTTCGCAATATGAAACGGCTGCCATGTGTCTTGATTTCTGATATTCTTTGGTCAAAATTCACAAAGGGTAAAGCATTACAGTGCGTTTAGAATACACTTGTCATTCTTTGGTTTTGCGGAGAGAAGTGCTGTCGAATGCGATTGCTGAGAATTGCTTTAGTAACCATCACAACCAATGGTGGTACGATGGCATGCAACTAAAGCAGGGGATACTAGTAGCCAACTTCGCAACTCTGCCGCTATACTGTATTTATCACAATTTTGGGGTATTTTTCTAAAAACTGAAGAGTAAAAAAAAAAAAAAAATCAATCAATGTTTTTGTGCTTCTATTGGAGACGAACAACCATTTGCACTGAAATTCACACAGATGGGCAATTCAGTCTTTCATGAACCTTCCATGTATGTTTTGGGAATGTGAGAAGAAGACAGAATACAAAGAATACTCGCAACAGGATTCAAACCCTGAAACCTGGAAATATAAGGCAGCTGTGCCAACCATTCCCTATCATGCTGGACTGCCCTATTTCTTTATCAAACAATTAAAAAGAAATAAATCCAGAATATGTCCCCTAAATCGAGGAGAAAAAAAAATCCAGCTCGAAAAATTCATTTTTCATCTTCCGGACTTCAGAAGGCAATTGATAGAGTCTAAATGGTCTGTTCCTAATATTTTAGTTCCCACCACTTCAGAATCGCATAACTGATTGGTTATCGTGATTAATTGCTCTTATTTTGTTATATTGAATAGAAACAAGTGGATACACAGGTTATTTGTACCTTCTGCTGTCTGGTGGAAGAACACTTTATTGTTCTGGTAGTCACTATATGTTGCTGGTATAGATACGTAGGCGAACAGGATATATACTGTATATAGATAGAAAGATAGATAGATAGAGAGAGAGAGAGAGAGAGAGAGAGAGAGATAGAGAGAGAGAGAGAGAAAGAGAGAGAGAGAGAGAAAGAGAGAGAGAGAGAGAGAGAGAGAGAGAGAGAGAGATGTCATATGAATTTGTACTTTGATTTGTGGGGACTTGCAGTCTGATGGAGTTGACTGTGCTTTCATGCCAACCACAGCTTGGGTGAAGACATGTTATTATGTCCCCACCTACTGCCACACTACCATTACATCCGTCTAAAAAGTATAAGGAGCAAGAGAAAAACTGGCATTCCAATGTGGAAAAACATTTTTTAAAATGGATGTGAGTGAAAATAAATTTGCAGCTGTTGAAGTGATCTTCCATATTTGCAGTCAGAAGACTCTTTTCAATTTACAATATGATCAAAAACCTTCCATGAGGTGTTCTTTTTATCATGGGTCTGTCTAAAGTGCTATTTTTTTTATACCATAAAAATTTATTTCACCAGATGTTGAAACTGGCGCTGTTTTATGTAATAGTCCTGGGAACAACAATGCTGAAAAATCCTCAAATATTTTTTATATGGCCAAGTTGAACTCGGAAAATATTGTTGGTCTTAACAGTATGAGAAATAATCTTAACATTTAGCTTGCTAAAAACATTGAGATGTGGCAAAAATTAATAAAACATCACATGCTTTGTTAGGCTGTGTTGTTTTACCTCCTCCAATATTATCTGCTCATGCATTCTCTATATTCACCTAAAATTGATCATTTCGTCCATCTGGAAAAGCGTACGCACACTGCACACACGGATTACATTAAACGACACGAGAGGTTTCCTGTCTGGCCCATGTATGAATATTACACCAAAAAAAAAAAAATGTGATCGTAGTGTGACAGGTAGAGATCAGCTATACCATCCTCACCTCTCCACTGTGTTCGAAGAGCAACCCTTTAGGGCCCCGGGAGACTATAAATAGGAGAGGAAGCCCGAAGGCCTTCCCTTTTGCCCCAAAGCCTGACTTGGAGTGTTTCGTGAGCAGACCTGCAAGCTACCGGAAACCCAACACCCCAGTAGAACTGTGGAGTTTTGTGTACATACACTGCCGACCTGATATTGTGTGTGTTTGAGCCTGAAAGCTCTGGTTGCTGCGCTGAAGTGCACTGTGTGATTTTTTTTACCAGCAGTAGTGGTTTCAGCTTCCAGTTACCCTATCAGTATCTCCGGGTTCCAGTACTCGCTGGGAGGAGTGCAAGATATGGTGCAGTATTTATCACTCTTTTTTCCCCCCACTGTAAACCAAAAAAAAGATACAGTGTATTTATTCGGGCCACGTGCAATAGGGTGATGGTTATCAGCATACAGGCTTTTGCCCAAGTCAGATTGGTTGCATCTTTGATCTTTAGTTTGTTTTATTTGAATTTACCATACCCTTAACTAATGATTGGTTGGTTTTACACTATTAGTTTGTGTGCCGTGAACTCGCAGTGGATTTTAGCCTCCTGATGAGGCTCGGGCATCAGTAGCCCACCCCGGGTAGCCCGATCCCTACTGGCCGTTGCCCGTTGTCCTACACTGCAGCCTATTAAACTCCATGTGGTAAATCCTTCATATCAGACTTCTCCTGTGGTAGCTTTTACTATTGTATTGAATTAATACAATTTTTTCATTGATTTGTACATTAGTCTTTGTCGTCCTGGTGATTCTGGACAGCTTGCATGGGGATATTGCCCTTTCGGTGCTTTCTACCGTCTTTATTACTGATTTGCTTTACTGTTTGTTGTATATATTGAATTGCTCCATGTACAGCACTTTGTATGCAGCGATGGCTGTTTGAAAGTGCTCTAGAAATACAGTTGAGTTGAGTTGAGTTTCCTAGATATAAGTAATTTGCTGTAGGTTTTCCTTATATACTCCACTTAGGTCACACTAGCTCATTAAGGTGATTTTACACATTGGAAAGCTTGTCCTCTTCTAATTTAGTTCAAAATATTTCTGGGGGTGAGCCCTGTATGAGTCATAAAAAAAAGTCATTTCACAGAATTTAGTGGAATGTCAATTATTTATGGGCCGTCATTTGTAACCAATTGTAGGATTTATCGTCATCTTTTAACGTCAATATAATTTTTCAGAGCACTTCAGGGTACATTTGCAGGGGTGAGGTGAAAGCACGTTATGTAGCTCATTTTATGAAATAAGATCTTCAAGACCGAGCTCCCAGGACTCCGATTTTCTATGTGTCTGCACCTTCATAATGCATGTAAGACTTTCTCTCTAGATCAGAAAGAAAAAAAAAAACACATGAATGGAATACTACGTTGGCAATTTGTACTCCGGTAATGTAATGATACATTTAGCTCATGTACTTTGTACATCCTCTGTCTGATGTGATCACCTATTTTTACTCTTTGTCCTTTTCCTGCAGAAACATTGCAGACAATTTATGTCAGACGGCACAGAGTGAAAAGAACATGATGGAGACAATTGAATCAATGTGTTGCGCTACTGTATGTGCTTTGTGGCTAACGCAATATTCAGTGGCCCCACTTCTTCTGACCACAAACGAAGCTACTTCATCAGGTGGAAACCATGGCAACAGATTTGACAGACCCCCGCCCCTTCCCCACTCACCTATATCACTTCCTGTTTGAGGAAGCGCTCACGTCATTTGTTCCTTCCTGTATGATGATTTTTTTTTCCTCCCATAATATGATTGCACAGTGACTGTTCCACTTTAATTCCACATCGTTATAAAGCAAAAAGACGAACTGTGTTTTCCTCTGTGCTCACACACCAAGGCGAATGTAAACTGAGCTGTTTTAAAGGAATCTAGAGGGGAGACTTTCTATAATTGTATTCCATCTGAAGGAATATGTGTGGTATTGTAAGATTGTTTGGACTGCTGGAACCTTTTTTGGATCAAAGTACATTCGGAAGATTATCTGCATATATTCACAACATAAGAAATGAAAATTTTCCATTCTTCTGGATTTATTTTTCAAAAGTCAAATATTTACTCTTTCCTACTGGCCTTTTTGGTGTTTGTGAAGTGAAGGGGCGGGCCGGGGGTCAGACCTCAAGCTTTAAAAATGCTTGTAAAGATGGAAGGAGGAAGAGAAGAATGGTCAAAGCGGGACTTTACGAGGGAGGCCCGCTACAGGCGGGATTCTGGCTCAAGTATTGGAAATATTAGCTTTCTTTCCATTTTACTGCCACAACCACAAGCCCTAAATGGCAAGCTAACACTTCATTAAGAAAGAACTGATTTGAATCTTATGTAACAGCACAGCTCTCTGAGGTCTAAGTTTTGCAACAACGTGCTCAATCAGAATTTTGCTGGCTGAATGTGTACAATGGCTCATATGAATACATCTAATGAAATGGTTTGCTCAGTTTTTCTTTCTTCATTGCAGTGGATACGAATCACATACAGAAAATCTCGGCCTGCCTCCTTGTTGTGGTTGAGGCCGTGAACGCTTCACAGCAAAAGTGCATGTCGCCCCGCTGTGGTCGAAAAGCAAAATTCAAGGAAATCGAATGTGTTACAGCACAGGGAACTTCCATTTTTCTTTACCACATTACATCTTTACAGTTTGTTTGTCTGTTTAATGGAATCAGTTAAACACTCAGTAAAAAGTAATTATGACGCACACATACACTTTTAAGGCTGTCAAAAATGTTGCGTTGTCGTTATTGTAAGAATGGATCTAATTATTTGTTCATTCGGTTCATTCTCAAATTATAAAAAGAATCTTGCAGTTTATGGTTGGAAAATTACATCTAGGTGATGGAGTACCAAATTAACTAAATTATACTCGGATACAGAGACATTTTCCATTCATGTTTGGGAATCACTATTAAAAATCTGGGGTGGGGAAAACATTAAAATAGAAGTTAGTCATCTCCTCAGCCAGAAAAGTGATGCAAAATTTTCCATAGATCCCCTAATCCTTTAATGCATCCATTAATTCAAAGGTTTGAGTTCAGCTTCATTTGCACAGGAACATCTTGATATTTTCCATTTGATGTCACAATTCAGGCTCGGGGGAACACTGCAAACATTTCAGTGGCCTAGGCTGGAGAACACACAAAGAGAAGAAGTGATGAGGTGGAACTCACATCAGATTAATTTTATCGATCCGTTTTGCACAGTCTTATCCCATGTAGGATTTCGAGTGTGCTGGAGCCTATCCCAGCTGTTTTTGGGCAAAGGGTAGGGTTTCTCCTAGACTGGTCGCCAGCCACTCACAGGGCACACATTTAGAAAAAAAAAAAAAAAAAACATTCACACTCACAATCAGATCACACACACATGCAGGCAAGGTTAATGGGCTCAAAAATAGTGCTGCACTTCTGGAGCAAGGGTTGGGGGGGCAGCACCTTGCACAAGGGGGTCTCGACTGTAGTTATCTAATTGCAAATTTTGTTTTGTACCTCAGCAGGACTCGAATCGTTCACCTTCAGTGATGAGCTACTGCCGCCTCATATGATGCCATGTCTCACCTCTAACATTGACTTTGGCCAGTGCCTCACTGGAGCCAATGTGGTTGGTTGCCACACACTTGTATATTCCGCTGTCGCTACTTTTAACATGAGGGATGACAAGCTGTCCATCATTGGTGCTGTGACTTCCAGCAGGCAGGTTGCCTCTGCCCACCCGGCTCCAATGGAACTGAATGGGATGGGAGCCATGGGCCAGACAGCGCAGAGTAAGAGCATCACCGTGTTGGAGCTTCACCTGCTCAGGCAAAGAGGTGGCATAAGGCGGGCCTATGGCATAAGGAAAAAGAAGAGATAAGAGACGAGAATAATCATCAACCACTATATAAACATAATCTGATTTTTTTTGGGAATAGATGATACAGCAGAGTCACTATTTTCATTTACTTAACAGATATTATTTCTACCCCTTAAGCCCTTTGTGTGCCTGACCTCGGAACAGAACAAGCTTTAATCTGGTGCAGCCATCTCAACTCTTGACTTTAATCTTTCCTGTGTACATGGTCCCTTACAAATAATTGTCAAAACCTCAAGATGTGTTTTGGCATGCTTGGTTCACTCACTCTCCACCTCCATCTGCGTGTATGCCTCGCTGAAACCGTGTATGTTGGTGGCATTACAGATGTATTGGCCGGAGTCCTGTCGCCCCACACTGGTCAGTGTCAGGGCACCACCGGCTACAGTATGTTTCCATGGCAACGGGGCTCTAAGCTTGGACCATGTGATGACAGGAGGGGGAGAACCTGAAAGCAATAGAGAAAATTTGATCCACAAAATACTATTGTACACTATTTTATGTTGTTTTAATCGGTTGTGTGTATGTGTGTGTGTGTGTGTGTGTGTGTGTGTGTGTGTGTGTGTGTGTGTGTGTGTGTGTGTGTGTGTGTGTGTGTGTGTGTGTATATATATGTATATTAAGTGACAAAACTAATGGAGTTGAACTGTATAATAACTATGTCTTCTTACCAGTAGCTTGACACCTCATAGTGACAGTATGACCCTCCACAACTGTCATTTCCTTATGACTCACTGCTGCCATGGGTGCACCAGGAACCCCTCCAAAGATGACCTCCACTTTGACCTCTGTCACACCCACGATGTTTTCAGCTTGGCAAATGTACACTCCTGCGTCCTCTGGACGCACTATAAGCCACTTAAAAGGAGGAGAAGGTGGTGTTATTTCAAAATACGGAACCTTAAATAAAAGCAGGGTTCGGGTATTACTTGTATGGTGTTGACACCATCTATCTCCTCAGAAAGTAGCTGCAGAGGGGAGCCCTGGCGTCTCCAGCTCATCTTAGGCCGTGGCCTGCCTGTTGCCCGACACTGCACTGATACCCGGTCGCCAATTTTGACCCTCAGGGGCCCAGTTGGTGACAGCCGCACTTTGGGAGGATCTGGAGGGAAGTACACCCGTATGAGGTCATGATGAAAGCAAAACGTCAGAGTGGGAACCTTCAAAGTTACACATCCTCTGGGGTACAATTTGGAGATACACATTTTCCAGAAAACTAAGCATCTAAACCCCCAGCCATAGTTTGTGCCAAACCAAGAAAAAAAATGGGTGGCATCTCCCATTAAAAAAGATACCAAACAAATCATGCAAGTGATTCTCTATGCTTGCAACCCCTGATGGGACAAGCCGAAAAGCGCAATAAATGTCACATGAGGCTTGTGCATCTCATGAGACTTCAGCCAATGAAAACCAAAGGTTTTTTACTGCACAAGTGCATTTTTTTCCCTTTAGTTGTGTGTGATAAACACAAAATCAAGGATTCTGAGTTGAAATAAACATTTAGGGTCGGAAAGCAGCACAGACGTCTCTGTCCTAGAAATACATCATCGCCTACAGGAGGAAGAACAGAATTTACCCTGGATAATAAGCAACATTTCACACAGATGCGCCTTTACAATGTGCCCCCAAGTGTAACTTGTAGTTAAGAAAAGTATGCGCGTGCGTCTATGAGTGCTCGTGCGGTAACTAGTCGATCACGAGAGGTTGGTTCCTTGAAAAGTACATCTTCAGTCAAAGAAGGATTGGGCAATTATGAACCGTGAGCACAAAATCTTCAGGCTTCTGCTAAAACAAGATAAGCCTACCAGAGCCATATCCTACTTATGAGCATGTGGACACTTGTGGAAACACATTTTTTCAGTTCATTTAACTGGCCCTCTTGAAAACCTTGGAATTTTTTTTTTTTGTTGAGTTGGTCAAGTTATTGGTTTGGAAACATTTTTGAGGTGGTATCTTTATCTTGGTCTGTTATGACCAAAACATGGCATTTAAACAGGAGTCACCCTTTTTAACTCTTTAAATGCTTCTTAAGATCTAACTTTTTTGTTGGCGTGTAAGCAGTAGAGCAGCTCACATTTGATGTTGATCTGAGCTGAAGCAACAGTGGAGCCTGCCGAGCCGGATGCCACACATTGGTACTCGCCCTGGTTATTAGGTCGAGCATTAGCAATCGTCAGCACCACACCATTGGGGCCAATCTTAACATTGTCTGGTGGAGGGAAAAACATAATTCTGTGAATAGATTAAGCACAACATAAGCATACAAGCCGACACTCCATACCTGCCAAGGCTTGATTATTGGCTCTCCTCCACTGCAGCTGGGTGGCATGAGCACCGCTCCCCACTTGGCACCTGAGGCTGACCGACTCCCCTTCACGCACGGTAGTAGTCTGGGGCTCCACTGAGACCACAGGACTTTGACCAGTGGCTACTCAGAGAGAGAAAGCATTCATTCCGTGCACACACACACACACACACACACACACACACACACACACACACACACACACACACACACACACACACACACACACACACACACAGGAGAACATGTATGCGCCATATGCAACTCTGTGAACCCTTAAACAGGCTGGAGTAAAACACAGTGTCAACCAACAGCAGGCCAAAACAAACAGACTGAGTAAATACACAGACTAAACAGAAGTGACTCTGATGACTGAGCAAAAACAAGAAGAGTGTTTAAATTTGTTTCCTAATTAGGTACAGTTAACTATAATGTTATTTTTATTGTCGGTTGAAGGTGCTTACAATATTAAGAGACGTAGTTAACTTTGGCCTTGGTAATCCCGTGAGTGTGCCACCAACAAGGGGGTTTTTTTTTTGTTTGTTTGTTTTTTTTCAATAGAAATAAGGTATCCCAATTATGAGAGCTGTGTGTTTAAATAAAAATCAAACAAAATATCCTGCTCAGGTTTTTTTCAGTTATTATTTGATGTGATTATTCAATAATTATTACTGTCTATTTGAAATGCTGAGACAACCACTTTCTCGTAAAACACAATTTAAGATAAACACACAAAAACACCTTCTCGTGTGTCAAAGACAACGAATAGAAATAATCCCAATTACCTGAACATAGCAGAGAGACGAGGAGCAGAGCATAGGACAATGAGTCCATGATGTGGAGAGAAAAGAGTTCAATCACTTTCTGTGCTGTCTGGCTGTCTCTTTCTGTTCCAATCGCGGTCAACCTTTCACCCCTCACTTGGCACTCACCTCCTCCCTATTTCTATTTCGAGGTCTCTAAAAGTGCTGGCGTCGAACTAAAACCTCACCAGTCACAATTTGGAAAATTTCATATTTTTTCAAAAATCTATACTGTTGGTCAGTCCACGTGTGTGTATTACTTGAACAAGACTGAAAAGTGACATTTTGGACGTCCAAGCTTTCAGCCCACCACTTGCAAAATTCAGTTTTCAAAGAAAGTGGGGATTTTTTTTAAAGCTACATGGCCCTGTGTGAAAAGTATTTGTCCCTCCTGTTAAATCATTAATTAACAGTGGCTAATCACATTTTTTGAAAAGCTCAGTTCATTTTCACTGACCACAACCAAGCTCTAAGACCACCTTGACATGTTCTGTCAAGAAACCTTTTAAATGAGTCTGTCTGACAAAATAAAGCCATCCGAAAAAAATCTCAAAAAGCACCCCAAAAAATCCCATGATCCAAAGAAACTCAAGAACAGTTGAGAAATAAATTTAACTGAATTCTATCAATCTGGAAAGGGTTACAAAGCCATTCTTCAAGTTTTGGACTCCAGTGAACCGCAGTTATGAGAGCAAACAGTGAACATTGGTGAACCTTAATAGGAGTGACCTGACCGAGCAAGAGTATGACAATGTGAATCACTCAAGAGTTCTCCACAGTAGCAGTCTGGGACTGCTTCAATGTGATCAACTTGGAAAGGCGGGACATTCAGAACAATACCTTCCACTGATATGGCAATGCGGCAATTTGTGCATGCGACGCTGACTTTGCATTAAATGCAGAGTACACCCTAAATTGGTCGGCAGTAGAAATTTAACCCTGTTGCATGCACAAAAGTCAGACAAGTGAACCACTACAGCATCATTCAGCAACAGCGTTATCCATTGCAGAACCATTTTTTATATGCTGTATCTTCACCTAGCTTAAACTTCACGTTACGCTTGTTAAAAAGTGTGTTATCCTTATGGAAAGCTTTATGAGCTGGTGTCATTTAAAAGTGTGAATTAGTTTGACGATTTTATTCTAATGATTAAAATACAATGATTACTAATTAACTGTGACGTAACCATTATTTGTCACTGATTAACTTGAGTTGTAACTTGACCCTTGCGTTGATATTGTTGAATTTTTGACGAAAAGGGAAATCTATTTTGTTAGGTAAAGGCTCTGTAGCTATTTATGTCATTGTTATGAACCATGATAATAACTGATAAGATTTAAGGCAAGTCTTGGAGAAACGTTTTTGTTATGTCATGGGTTGGATGCTGCCATCTAGCGTCAAGAGTCAGCAAACTAAACACTGACGTTAGGGCGTGAGGTGTTGTGGGAGTTGTAGTTCATCTAGAATCAGGACTTCCTGCTTTTAACAGGAAAATCACCTTAAGACGCTGGAGACGTCGCACTCCATTGCTCTTCCTGACTTGACAACTAATCTTCACACTTAAAAGAAGTGAAGACTTCCATACAGGTAGGTCAGTGTCGTTGATGTGATACATTTGTGGAGCAGCACCCATTTAACTTATTTTGCGCAAACAAGTTTTGACGAATAATCGCAGCTGCTTGTGAGTTGAGACCGGCTCATCGTGTTTGTATTGAAAACGACACCGAACAACCTTTTCAGCTTGCTCATTTTTGTACGTTTGTTTTCGACTCACTCTGCCTTGATACAAACCAAACAAATTGTTATGGGAAACTGTTTTAAGTAAATGTTGATCATGGGGTCGTTGGCATTAGTTGAACTAGCTGAAAAAAATCGCAAACGTGTATGCTGTACAATATTGTTTGTTTCATCCAAGATGCATGTGTCAATGTCGAACACGTGCTTTTTCATTGTGATAGTAAAAACTTGAAACGTTTTTTAATTCATCTATAATCAAGTTTAGTTTTACTTGGAATATTAGGTCTACCTGTAATAATCCAAATAAAATTGACCCAATTAAAGATATATTTTAAACAAATTTCCTGTGTTTACTACCACATTGAAAAAGGCTTAAGTTCAACATTCGCACATTTACTGTACATCATATATATCTTTTGTACTGTGCTGTGAGCTCTTTAATATGAGTCTTAAACGACAAACGTAGTAGTGTCATGCACCTCTGTGGAATTTGAAACGTGACTTCATGATGACTCGCCCTGAATGGACTCAGCAATTCCATGTCTGGCTTCATCGAGTCATAACACCCCTATTTAAAGTGAATAGCAGCACTGTGTCTTGACCAACATATTGTGGCTCGTGAATAACGAGCTTTCTCAGCATTTAAACAGACCCTGTTGTGCTGCTTATTTGACACATGGTCAACAACACGATGCCACTGATGGAATAATAAAAAAATCTGAGCAAAGTAACCAAAGTGGAGTTTTGTGCACGCACTGGTCCCGACATTAGGTACATCTCCATCATGAAATGACATTAAATACAAAAAAACCCTACACTATCATCATTTTTCTGTACTTTCAGTGTATAGTGTAGACTTGCTGTGCATCATATTGATAGCTGTTTGTAATATTTTGGTTTCCAAGTTCAGCTCAGTCAACAATAAAAATGTTAAGTTAGCATACAATTGAATTAAAACCTCTCTGATTGTATCAAAATCGAGCATTTTATATCTTGCCAGTATATACCTCTTGGTATTAAAAAAAGTAAAACATAAAAAGCCATTTCAAAGTGGTGACCTCAAACTTTTGAGCAGGAGTGTTACCTCTATTTGAACATATACTTTTTTTTCCTCTTCCCCTCAGATGGCCACCATGGATCATGGGGCAGTCCGGCCACTGACAGCAGTGGCGTGGACATCCAACATTTCCACCTGCCCTAAAGACTTCACCTTGGTATAGGCAGAGAAGGAGATTACACATTTTTATTGCATGTGCTTGAGTTTTTATTCCTCCATAGACCTTTAAAAGTAAATAGTTCCTGAGATTTTCAGTTATTCTTTTCATTGATTATCAACACAGAGGCAGTTCATGCTGAAAAATTTTACTCTTATCGGGAAAATAATACACCATAACAGAAAATAATCAAATGGAAAACAACAAATACCCTGATTGAATGAACTGTTCCAAGGGCCAGAACAGAGAAGACATTAAGTTGTACTCTGAATTGTGCCTAATTAAAAATGAAACACTTATTTGCAAATTGCATTGATATACCGATACGCTAATCAGCCATGCTCATATGTATAATAAATACCTTTCATACAAAAATTATAGATGGGTTTTGGGGAGAAAACTAAACCTTTCATTTCAGGTCTGCAAATTATAAAAGCATGTTCCCTGCAATTGGCTGGTTACCAGTTTGTGGGGTGCACTCCTCCTCTCACCTAAGTCAGAATATTTGTGGAGTTTCTCAGAAAGGCAGAAATCAGTGAGCGCATTGAGTGATTTGGACTGTGAACTTGCAAAAGATGGTCTCATTAAAACTAAACAAAGAAAAAAACCCTCTATAAATCATTTTTGAAGGATTTAGCATCCCACCAAGAGCGTGCCAGATGCAACAAGTTGGTAAAGCACAGGCACCACCGCGCATTGTAACAAAGACACTTTTCACCATGACGCCTGACTTGGCCAATCACAATCGTGTTCATTTATGCCGAGTAGGCTGCGATTAAAATGAGCGTCGGGATAACTTTAGCTTGCCGGTTTGCTCAGGACTTTGGTATGTGGTTGCGGTATTAAGGCAGCACAGTGATGAGCACAAACACGTCACACCTCTCTGTTTTGATCCTGTTCTTCATGTGCCCCCGTTTCCTCTCATGTTCATCGAAGACTCGGCTGAAGTTGTGAATGGGAACGGTTGTCTGCCTATATTTAACAGTCCCTGTTTCGATCTGCAGATCAACATCACTGAGAATGGAGCAAACGCAAACTTCACACGCAGCTTCCCACCGAGATACAGTTATTACCTTTGTTACAGTAAGGTAACTGAGAAACACGTCCACTATTTCAGTAATCTCCTTTGGGATTTGCATCACCACAATACATCAGAGATTTTTCTCTCTCTCTCTCTCTCTCGCTCTCTCTCCCCCTCTCTCTAGGCCACTTCAGGTGGTATGGTTGTGTCAGACATACAGCTCATCACTGACAAGGACGCCATTCCTCATGGCTACTGCTTAATTGCGGAGCACCTGGAACCAAGTGAGCATATAAACATACATTTATGTATGGAAATTGATGTGGAAAGCAATCAGATAACTCGTACGTAGGCTTTTCTAAAATGTTCTATGGTCAATTGTGTATTTAAAACCCATGGTAAATCTCGTCGTATAAAATACCACTTTAAAAAAAAAACGATACAATTTGTATCAATGTCCTATAAATGAGGACATGACGTAGCTTGACCTAAAAACTACATTCACCAGACTATTCAGGGAGTATTCCAATGAGCCTAAAAAGCATAAATGCAGGGCTCCACACTACATTTTAGGTGTGCAAGTAGGAAGCTTATAGGCACAAATGAATCACTAATTGACTTGCTTCGTAAATATTCACATTTTCACCTGATGTATGGGCTAAAGTGTGGAGCAGAAGATTGTCAGCAACAACAACAAATCAATGTAAAAAAAGTTCATAAATTAGCAAATGTATTGCTCACATAAGCGCGAGTAGATGAAAAATGAAGTTGTACTTCGCGAAATTTAAGGAGCAAAATGCCACCGTTTAGGGGCAGTCAGGAGCCCTGTAAGTGCATTAGTGACACATGTACAATCACAGAAAATCCAACGGACAACGGAGGAATGCTAACTTCTGGTCGCCAGTCTAACGCATTGCAATTGCTTCAAACTCTTCAAAATATACTTGCAGTCTGCTGAAATTGCGTGAAGTTACCACAAAATGTCGTGTTGCCTTATTAAATTCCTCCAGTTTTCGAGGCGTTGGCAAAGCGATCAAAGCTCCATCTATCATTAAAGGAGCCATTTGCTTTGTACAGTACTGTACGTGCAGTTCCGTGTGAACAGGCAACTTATTTTGACACGCTCAATGTTGGTGATACAACACAAAAACAACCACAAAATAGACTAGAAAGCCTTTATTGTTATAGTCCTCGGTGCAGAAGCAACAAAATCAGGCTTATGAAAACAAAATACAACCAAGAATAACATAATAATCCTGACAAGCATGTAGTACTAACTGCAGAATGAGGATAAATGTCACAGGGCTTTGTGATGGTGTGGCCCGACTTCATCGCCTCGCTATAGTGGGAGTGAATAAAAATACAAGCATTAAAAAATGGACAGGGGGGGCTTCTCTGATGTGCAGAGGGGAGATCATGCCACAGTGTGGATCCACCCGAGATGTAAAAAGGCGTGGGTTGCTGTTTTTAAGTCTTCTTGTGCCCACACGGTGCTATAACCGAATCACCAGTATATTGTGGTCCACCATACCAAATGCTTCAGTTTGGACCAGGAGGACAAGACACACAAAGTCCCCAGAGTCGCTTGCCAGAAAGGATACCATTAACAACCATTCACAAGGCAGACTCTGTGCTATGCAGCATTTTAAAACCAGATTGAAAAAAAGGTCAGGACATGAAGCTCACCCAAAAATGACTTTGCCTGATTGTGATCAACTTTAACAGTAGCAGCCCCAATTGCCATTTCTCTATTTTACAAAATCCTGCAGCTTGTTCGGCTTTGCAGTACTCCTGCCTAGCTGTGCGGGTTGTCTCATTGAACCAGGGCTCAGGTTTAGTTTTGGGCTGACCCTTATGGTTTGGCTAAAGGAGTCAAACCGGGAGCTGACCTCCTCTGCGTTGACAGAAGTTAAGCCAAAGGGAAGGAACAGCTGGTCTAAAGCAGCAGAGAACAGACCAGCAGTGAACAAGTTAAAAGTATGACAGCTTCAAGCATGAGCAGCAAATTTAAGTGCAGCGCAGGAGAAACCCATTTTAACGAGTGGACAAACAAACCAACAAACAGCCATGGAAAAAGCTCTCATGATTTGCCTGGTCTCCGAGTCAAATACTGTACAGTAGTCACATAACATAAAAAAAGAAAAATCTCATTATGATGCATTTCACAAAGACGTTCAACCATAAGTTTCAATAATAAACACATTAAATTATTCACCATTATCCTGACAAGGAGAGATTTTTTTTTTAATTGCTGCTCTTGGATCTCTCACACACACACACACACACACACACACACACACACACACACACACACACACAGAAATATACCGTATATGCTGTATATAGTGCAAGTGTACTTAATGTTCTGCTAGCTGAATGTATCAAATGAATGTGATAACACAGAAAACAAAGAAGCCAGTTTGTATTTTGCTACTAGGCATTGTGTACACATCCTTCAGTACCATTTTTTTCTTCAGTTGATTAATTGTGTTAATACTTGGTGTATTTCTGTCTGCAGAAGCCACCGTTTGGAAGAAGAAGCACATATGTGTGCGCGTCGTCCCGGTCGGTAGTGTGGACACAGCTGTCTTGGATATCAAACTGACAACCAAAAGCAAAATGATGTTACAGCACTACACTTATGTCGGGTAAGCGCCGTACTATCCACTACATTCATCTGTGCTACTACTTCATCCAGCTCCTCCTCACGATGCACTTTTAAGTACTGTTCAGTATATGTTGTTTACAGAGACATCCACGGCTACGTGTTGTGGTGCAGAAAGGGTCATTTTACCAGCTGCACGCCGCAAGCCAAGCCCCGCAGTGTCAGTCTGGACCTCCGCAGACTCTCACTGGAGCTTCCATCTACTCCCCAACCTCTAAAACCCAGGTAGTTTTGTTGTCTCTAAGACCTTCATGCGTGCAGAAGAGAATTCACAAATTCCTTCGTGTCATTTCTGGCCAGACAGATGCCTGTGGGCATCCATTTCGGGTTACCAAGCTATTAGTACAACTGTGGTTTAGCTAATAAATCACTTCTATCATCAAAGTATGATATAAGGTGCATCGTGTGTGGTACAATATGGGTAAAATAGACTTGGAGACTCAACAGTCAAAGTTTTGAATGAAATAATAAATGCATGCACCTTGTGTATAGTTTCCGAATTTGACAATTAACAGTATGCTCCGCTGACATGGGTGATCACATAGTTTGGATGTTTCATTCTGTAAATCTCACACCAAATTTAAATGAATTTTCATTAGACCCTAACGCGTTTTCTTACATGCGTTTGGGAGATTTGAAGTTTTAGTCTTGGTGGGGAAATGTGTTTCTGCAGCAACCCTCCTCAAGTCCCTCAAGGTAAACTCAGCCACAGGCGCCACTCCCTCCACGGAACGGCGTCCAAACCAGTTGACAGCAGCATCCAGGGAATCACAGGTGACCGCACTGTTACTGTCAATTTGTGTTTTTATTGGTTTGCTACAATATGCTCTTTGTTTCAATTATCTGCAGCACTAGATGGAGTGCCCTTCAGCCTTCACCCAAAGTTTAATATCAAGCCAAATGCTACGGTATTTCACAATTTTATTTTTTCCGAAGTGAACAAATCTGCTCCCAGCCAAAAAGTTTTGTTTATGCAATATCTCACACGACAAAGGTCTTCCAGATTCATGTTAAGTTATCCCCTGTGTCTCTCAGAATCCTCAGCTGAACTACCAGCTCAACAACATCCGTATAAAATCCCTCCAGGACATAGAAAATGAGGTAAGATCATCTATTTCCTTTAATTCTGATTGCGTTACCCTTCCACATGTACTGTCAGTGTAATGACGTTGTATTCATTTTTCAGTATAACTACACCTTTTCAGTGGAGGAGTTTGCTGCCAAGAGGACCAGGCCACTAGTGTCAACATCCTCATCAGCTCAGTGAGCTTTGTTCTTTTCCATGGCAACAACATCTGACCTCCTGCCTTTGTGTAACGTCGCGGTACAAATGAAGGGACGTCACATCTCTGCGCAGCTTTGGAACATGAAGCATCTGAAGGAAGAGTGTGATTTAAAAGTCACGCATTAAGCATCTTTTTAAAATGTTAATCATGGCATCTTCAAACATTCCGGTGAATTCTTCCATTTGAAGAAATATATTCTTTGCGGGAATAACAGAGTGAACAATGTTGTGAATATATGAATATTTAGCTGATTTGCTGTTTGGGATAAATCATCTGCAGTGCTAGTCCATCGTGATTGCTTTTACATGCTTCATTTATGGTGCAAATTTTAAGGATGCCCCAATACTGTCTGCTGTTGGCCACCTTACAGTGTACATTGCTGATTTGCTCAAAACACACACACGGGCCACATTTTGATTTTCTTGGTAAATGCATGTCTCTGCATGTATCCATCTTGAATGTCTGATACAGTATCTTATTTTGAGATCAGCAATATTTCCTTCAGTCCAATAAAAAACAGAGGAAGGACCTATTTTGGGGCCATTTATGTTTATATATTAAAAAAGTCACACGTATAATGAATCTACCTACTTTTTGGTAGCATAAGATCCAGATACTGTATTTATCTACAGGATGTGATTGTACAAGGTATAAATGTTCTTTTTTTTTAATGCCCTCAAAAGTAACTGTATAATGCTTGAGGAAATAATTTAAAAAAAATAATGAAGACTAATGAATTTTTTTTTTGTACTACTATAAGAGCATTATTTGTGGATATTACCAATGGAAAAAAACCTGTTACCTTTATCTTACAAAACATCACCCAAGGAAGTCCAAACCTGAAAACAAGTCCCTCTGCAAAGCAGTACTGTATTGGTTGAAATAGCCTTGAAAAGTCCATATTTAAGTGAAAAGTTTGTCAATCTAGCTTGGGCCGCACATCAAGCTGAACCAATCAGAAGCGACAGTGAATGCATGTGTTTTGAATTAAAAATGTGTTCTGTTTATTTAAGGTAGTGAGGCTTAGCGTCTTTCCCCCACACTATATTGTGTTGGCATAAACACTCATTAGGATTTCCGAACTATGATCAACGGCTCATCAGAGCGTGGCCAAGGACCCCCTATAAATTACTGCGGTCAGCCCAGCGTCCACTCACAAAGTTAAAGTCAAGTCAGCCGCCACAACGATTGTTAATACTCGCGTTATGGTAAGCGACTGCGGTCTGGACAGCCTCCACTCGCAAAATTGAAGTGAAGCCAGCCACCAAAGCGATTGTTAATACAGTACTGTGCCGCCAGCAAGCTGTGTTAGTCACCTTGAAAATAAAAGCTGTCCAACTAATGCATACATGTCAGTGGTTTGGATTTAAAATAATGTGATAAAATCACTTCTCAGCGGTCAGGCAACGATTAGTTCACCCAGGTAGAATACAAGCTGTCTCAGAATAGCACCAAGGAGCGTTCTGAAGTTGAGATTGAAAAAAAAGTTAATGTTAACTCTCCATGAATTACTAAAATTTCACCCAATTAAAAAAAAAAAAAAAAGTTAAAACATTATAAAGGAATTTTCATTGTCCAAGAACCAGACCACGTCTAAGGAACACTAGGCTATGCCTGGTATCCAAAGGAATTTTCATTGTCCAAGAACCAGACCACGTCGAAGGAACACTAGGCTAAGTCATAATACTTTCATTAAGATTTGAAAGCCTCTGAAATCTGACCTTTTGACCTCCATGCCTGAATTCAAAAAACATTTAAAATTCAGTTTTCATTATCCTGGAACCAGACCAAGTCTAGGGAACACTAGGCCACCCCAGTTATGCAACCAAAGTACTTTCATTAGGATCTGATGTCGTATTTCAAAGACAAAGGCCTCTGAAATCGGATATTTTGACCTCTACACTTCGATTTTGAAAAATCATTAAAAAAAGAATTTTCATTATCCCGCAACCAGACCAGGTCTAGGGAACACTAGGCATCCCCCGGTATCCAACCACAGTACCTTTCATTAAAATGAGATGTTAACTTTAAATATAAAAGGCCAATAAAATCTGGCATTTTGACCTTTACACCTGAATTTTTAAAAATCATTTGAAATTCAGTTGTCGTTATCCCGCAACCAGATCGGGTATCGGGCACTCTAGGCGACATAGCCATTAAGCCATAATACTTTCATTAAGATCAAATGCAATATTAGGATCTGATGTTGCATTTCAAAATAAAAGGCTTCTGAAATCTGACATTTTGACCTTTACACCTGAATTTGAAAAAAAAAAAAAATCATGAAAAATTCATTTTTTGTTATCCCACAACCAGACCAAGTCTAAGGAACACTGGGGCACGCCAAGTATCCAACCATAATGCTTTCATGAGCATCTAATGTTGCATTTCAAAATAAAAGGCCTCTCAAATTTTTACCTTTATGTCGGATTGTAAAAAAATTGTATAAATCATTGAAGTTGGATGGCTTTTATTTGGAGGTGGCCAACGCTGCTCGCTGGCGGCAGGTTACCATGATGCACAGTATTAACAATCGCTGTGGCGGCTGGCTTGGCTTCAACTTTGCGAGTAGAGGCTGGCCTGAACACAGTCAACAAAAGCAGCTCTTCTGCCTGTTCCTGGACCAACAGGTGAAAGTATGACTGTGTGGCCATAATGAAATTGATGGCTAGCCTAGATAGTAACGTCATCTGGAGAAATTTATGTTTTGTGTATTTCCATTAAGTTACAAACATGACATAACACTTGAAAGCTTTTTAATTCATGTTTATTGGTAGTTGAGTTTCGTTGGTCCGAATAGAAATGATGGTAATTGACAATTGCTATGAAGCGGCGTGAAATATTATTATTATTATTATTACCAGTATTTTAATGTCAGAATACAGTAACTGATTTTGGATCTGGTTTATAATAGAGATCTCCCAGTCAAGAGCAGAGCAGCCGAAGCAGCCACAATTTCCCTTGAACTTATCAATGGCTTTTTTAAACAATAAATGTAAAAGTTATGCCTTATATATTCATTACACAATAAAACAATTGTTGTGAAACTCAAAATGTTAACTGTAATTTTATTAGTCTGTGCACAATAGATCATCAGTAACATTAAAAATAACACAATAAAGCCAAGTATATCAGTTGGCTGGTTGAAATAATGGCTTTTGGTTTTGGTGTGCCTCTCCAAGATTTCAGTTGTCCCCATCTGCCACTGACTATTTTGCCCATGACAAAAAGTACACAGCTGATTGAGGTGGAGAAAACTGATTTGGTATACAAGTAAATACTGTACAGTTCGAGGCTTGGTCAGGCAATGAATAAAGCTCCCAGTCAAGGCACTTGGGTATTTATGATCGTTAGGTTGTCTTTTTTTCCAAAAAATGTATTAATTGAAATCCATTTAACCATCTTATTTATTTTTGTACCGATTTATCCCATTTAACAATTGGAAAATGTATTTATCGCACATAACACTATTTCAAAAATCTGAAACTAAACTCGTTTTGCTCATTACTTGGTTGGTTAGCATCAACATAATTATAAATACATGTTTAAAAGGAGAGTGAATAATTGTAATTTTAAAAAAACAATTGTACACATACATTTTCTAAACCTCATCGAAAGATGAACCTCTGCCGCGCCCCTGGAGTGCTCCAACGTGAAATCCAGAAGCGGCTGTTGTCTTTCACAGGCACTTGCTGCTCTCCTCTTCTCTGCTAGCTTGTTTGTCTTGCCGGAAGGAGGCTGATTCCAACCAGCTGTTTCCCGCCTCACGCAGATCAGCTGCGCGCACACACGCACGCACACAATCACAAGGGTAGGCGGAGGCTACAGACAGGGACACAAACACGTAGTAGGCGGAGGCAAGATGACACGCGCGCGCGCACGCACTCACACGCATTGGAGGGAACCCCATCAGCTGTGGACAGCTACAACTTTTTGTTTTTCAACCCCGTTTTTTCACATCACCGCGCGTCTTGCTTGTGAGTGACTGCTCGAATAGACTACGGCAACTGTGCGTTTCCCGGTACAGTCTTTGTTTTTTTTCCCCACCGAGGGAGAGAAGTGGGTGGGAGAGAGGGCAAAACACGCGTTTCAGGGGGTGGCTTTGAAAGCATGGAATATTTCATGATGCCGACAGAGAAGATACCGAACCTCCAGCAGTTCAAGAAGACGGAGAAGGATGTTATCGGGGGACTGTGCAGGTACGTTTCGAAGAAGCACGTTGTGGATGTTGCGCTGCGGGCTCGACGTAGCGCGTTAGCCGTTAGCTGCTAGCATGCGATAGTTTGGCAGCAAGGTTGTACAAAGTGGCGGATTACTACCTGAGCTGCAGTCTTCCCGTGCGAGCGGACGCTAAAAGGGGTCGCCCGTTTCATGTCCTTCGTCAGCGGGAGAGTCTTGCTTTACCCACCAAGACACGTTAAGGAGGCATTCACTCCCAAAATATGTAAATTAACCACCTGAAATCGATACATGGCACTTGGAGTCGAGCACGTGGTGGTTAACGTGTTCGCCAGTCTCGCGATTTAGAACTAAATTAGGGTAATCAAACATGTATTTTGTGACGCGCTTAGTATTGATAACATTTCGCATTGGGTCAGATCGTAGTCTTTCGGATCCTTAATAATATAGATAATTATTGTGGCTTTTACAATTCTGTTGTAAAGCAGTAGCCGCGCTTGTGCTGCTAACTCGCCAAGCTAACACAGCATGACAAATTTCCAACTGCGCTCAGTGCACGCTTAAGAGCCTCAACTGGGCTTTGTCGGTTCAGCGGGCACACTCGTCGGGCCACCCGCGAGGCATTTAATCGGTGTTGTTTTTTTTTGGGGGGGGGGGCGCAGCAGCGATTGTTGGTCGTTGGCGTTAACGGTCGAAAGCATTGTTCTCCTCGGTGCCCGGGGGCCTTCTGCTTGCTGCCTGCCTACCGCCGCTGCTGCTGCACTCAGCGTGTACCGGAGGAGTGGAGTCACATTTCACTGTGCTGCTACCAGCTGGCCGACGCGCCCTCAGGCGGCCATGTTGTAGGTGCGCAGCTGCTGGCGGCCAAAGCAGAAGCCGACAACAGCCGAGCTCCGAGCTCGTTTCCAACTTTGCTATGCCGAAGCCCCAGAACGACATTTTAGGAATAAGGGCGTATTGTGGTAAAATATGTACTAGTTCGCATATAACTTTGAACAACTGATGCTAGCTTAAGAAGGAGCCCGGATACTTAATTAAGCACACCTGAATCGTACAGATGTATTCTATTTCAGTGACCTGGATGAATGGTAATTTACACATATATTAACATTTATTTATTACAATTGGACTTATTACACAGTTTAATTTAATAAATGCTCATAATGTCCTCATTGAGAAGAAAACCGACATGTATCAGATCCAAACTTTATTTGAAAGATACATTTCTTGGTAAATGCTTTTGATGAATCTAGCCTTACGAAAGCATATCTGATACACACAGATTACACAACCAAATCTAATAATAATCTTGATTTGATCATAATTATTTTTTTACATTGCAGGTTAAGTTCCATAGTCTCTTTAATTTACCAGTCACTTTACAAATTCTCTAATGAGCATCTCTGTTCTGTTGTGCTAATCTTTTTTGATGGCATACATCGGGTGCCCAACCTTTTTTGACCTAAGATCGACTTTTGAAGCGACCAACCTTCTGCGATTGACCCGATTGCGAGCGTGCAAGCATACAAACACGCGGGTGCGCAACCATGCACACGCGCGCATATGAGCAACAGCCGTAACGGACCCGACAATGAACCAACTGAAACCTACAGACACACAAATTCCCCCCCACCCAAACCCCATTTCAATCTCCCACCACTCACTGTCGACTTGGGACCAGCCCGCAGGCTACCGGTTGATCGCTAGAACATTTTCCAGAAATTTGATGGAATGACTTATCTCACAGAATGCTGTACAGTCATGTGTGTACAGTATTGATTAAAATAAACAGTGTCACTAGCAAAGTGGTGGAAAATATACAAAGTAAACAGAATAATAACTATCTAATACCCAAATGGGGTTTCAAGGCAAGCATTAGGGTTTCAAGGCCAGTGTTAAGGCATCAAGTTTGGCTATGTTCCCCCCACTCCCTTGTGTGTGGTAGAGGTGGCAGTGAGCATCCCAGCATTTTTCACCAATCTCATTTTGTTCCTTTTATACCATTCTTATTTCCACACTTTCTTCCTCCCTTACTTATATCATGTTCATTTAGAAAGTAGATACCTCCTTTTGTTTTTCCCGCCAGTGTTACTGGCTAGTAACCACAAAGTTGAAAATTCCCTTTCGCTCTCTGTTTGTGTGGTTTCCCCACCCACAATGATCGTATCCTTTTTAAAACCACACAAGCTAGTTGCTCTCTGACCTTGAGTGTTTTATAAACATCTCAGTTCAAGTTCTACTGGTTTCTTTCCTTGGGTTAGTTGTCCTCTCTGTGCCTTAATCTCGTTTTAATGGTTAACATGTTCAGCGACAACCTTGAGGGTGAGGTGGGTTGCAACTCATAGAGTTCATTTAAACTGTGATGCAGAGGCAGTTCAGGTCAAGGAATGCGAAGGGGTCAAGTTAGGCCAAGTTTTCTCCTATTATTAGTGTGTGTCTGATCCACTATTATATTTTATTGTGGCTGTATTTTTGTCCAGCGTGTGTGCTTTGTGTGAAAGTGTTGAGTCAACGGCATATATTCTCAGCTCAAGTATGGCTTCTGGCCCACTTTTGAGCATTTACATTTCTGATGATGTTGCTACGAGCAGCTTCTCCCAATTTCATATGAAAACGTAAACGATTACCTATGCCCTGTGACTGTTCCTTAGTCTGGCCAACATTCCCTTCAGTCCAGAGACGGCACAAGACCAGGAGAGGCGAATCCGACGCGAAATCGCCAACAGCAATGAGCGGCGGCGCATGCAAAGCATCAATGCGGGCTTCCAGTCCCTGAAAACTCTCCTGCCTCACACAGATGGGGAGAAACTAAGCAAGGTACATGGTCATACATTGGAACATCTTAACCTACATAAAAACATTGTGTGTGTGTGTGTGTGTGTGTGTGTGTGTGTGTGTGATGGAATGGATCTGTTGTCAGAAACACTCGATAGCGCGATATCATCCGTTCTGCTTGGTTTCACTTTTGCGTCTCTCTGCAGGCAGCCATCTTGCAACAGACAGCAGACTACATCTTCACCTTGGAGCAGGAAAAGACGCAGCTCCTGTCACAGAACAACCAGCTCAAACGCTTCATACAGGTAGGCCCAAGTGTCCCGACAGCGTCTCTCATGCATGTAACCTTTGTGATGTTGTTCAAAGAATAGTTTTGCTTTAAGTCAGTGTATAGTGTGTGTGATTTTTGTCTCACACTGTTCCCACATTGTGACTGCAGGAGTTCAGCGGTTCCTCGCCCAAGAGGAGGCGAGCGGAGGAGAAGGATGAAGGCATTGGCTCTCCTGACACTCTGGATGAGGAGAAGGTGGAGGAGCTGAGGAGGGAAATGCTGGAGTTACGTCAGCAGCTGGATCGAGAACGCTCTGCTCGGATGCAGCTGGAGGAGCAGGTGAGCATAACATTGAATTAAGTTGTTTTGCAATACCCATATTGTGTGGGTACCGTTCAAAACGCTGAAAAATGTGCAAGTGCCATATTAATACCGATGCTCGTTTGCCAGCATCCGTCTTGCTCAAAGATACTTTTCACACCACAGCTCAAGGATTTGTCTTGTGCTGAGAATCAAACAGTACATTAGAAATGGAACATCATTTTTCCATATCGTAGCAATGCACCATGGGATATTTGATTTTAAGATGTCCATCCCTGTTCTTTTGAAGGTGCATTATAGAATATACCAAGGACACAATACAGGGGACAACCTAACCTATACTCACTTCACACTTGAACAACACAACATAATGGCCAACTTACTATATATAGGGCATCAAATCGTGGATAGGGAGTGATTCTCAATACTACCATTTAGATTTTTTTTTATGGTATTGTTATACGTTTCTATGTATCTGGCACATTTGGTTCACTACAGCTTGCTTCCGTTTGTTTGGATTCAGGTGCGCTCTCTGGACACCCAAGGGCACCCGGATCGCCTCAGGGTGATCACCCAGCAGGTGGACGAGGAGCATGCGCAGCTCCAGAGCCAGACGCTGTTGAGGCTACAACAAATCCAAGCGGCAGACAGACCACCTCGCAGTCCAAAGGTTGGTCACACACATTCATACAATTAAAATCCACCTGTATTCCAAAAGACACGAGTGATGGAAAATGCAAATTATTTTATTACAAACCACACATTTTTGCTTGTATTCAGAGTTATCGGGCATGACTGAATAGATTATTGTTGTGTATTTACATTGTTGAAGTGACCTGCTGATGTAACAAAGGTGATTTGTATGTGTTTTCAGTTGGAGACTTCCCCCACGCCCATCGCCTCAACCCACCACCCGACAGTCATCGTGCCAGCGCCAACACTAACCCAGCAACCCCATCACCACGTCACCGTGGTAACCATGAGCTCGTCTCTCCACAACAGCACAATGTCCACGTCGAGACAAAACCTGGACACCATTGTGCAGGTATGTCCTTTACATCTTCTCGATAACGCACAACACGGGCACTATCAAATAGTGTCCAATACATGAGTTGTATGAAAATCTTCTGCCTTTATAAAAACAGTAATTGTTCAGTTTCCTGTCAAAGAGCTATTAAATTATGGTTGTAGTTTGCAGTGGTGTGCTTGTTTTACTGCACCATACTTTGAGTATACAGACAGGTGACTCAACTCAAGGCCCGGTGACGCATCATTTAATGTGGCCCACTGAAGCAAATCATCTGCGACCACTTCATGTTTCTTGCTCAAATCTGTACCAGTCATAACAGCCCTCTTAGGGAAAGAACAACGCCAAAGCAGTCCATGACAAAAAGGTTTGATACTTCTGGTGTACAGTATCATACTACAACCAAAATATTAGAAAGCGTATGATGAACTACAACCACAATAATAAACATGTAAAAAATGTTTTGACAGCAGATTCGATTGTGGAGGTTCATTGTGGAATATTTGCTGCATCATCCGTTTGCTCCTCTCAGGCTATCCATCACATCGAGCGCACTCAGGAGAGGAGAGCAAGCGCAGAGGAGGAGCAAAGACGAGCCGTCATTGTAAGCCCCGCCCACATCGCCATGGACACAGCCTGCTCTGACACCGACACAAACACAGAGGGAGAGGACTGCTCAATGAACTGATTGTGCTGTGAACTCACAAACACTTAACACCATCTCACTGTAAGATTCCATCCAGAAGTTTGACTACTTAAAAAAAAAAAAATCTCTCCAAGCTCCAACTTCCTGTAGTGAAGCGCTTTTCTTTGTTGCTCTCATGGTTTAAATTGTCCGACTGAAAAATACGCATGTTGGGCGTGCAGAGGAGGCCGGGGGGGCTTCTTGGGGCTGCTAGTCATCGCTCCGTCCTCCCAGTTTTCCATTGCACTGACAATATTGTGCTGCAAATTGACATTTTTACTGTAATGGAGAACTGAATGTAATACGGTAAGCAGCAGCCTGTGACTTTTTGATTAAGAACGGAGGACTTAAGAGTTGCAATTTTTCTTCCCCGAGTCTTGTATATTTTCTAAATAAGGCAGGTCACACAGACTTCATTACAGAATCGATACTAAAGAAAAAGATTTTACTTGAATAAATATAATTATCATCTTAAGCCCTTAAAATGGATATCGAAGAATATAAGCTATTGAACGATTGACAGTCTGTTCTGTGTTTTGGGAAATGCATCATGACAGGGTTACTGAACTGCATTCTCTTATGAAATCAACTTAAAAATTAGATGTTTATTTGGTTTGATAAGGAGCCTTTTTTTTTTTTTTTTTGCCTTGAGATCCAAAATTTGAGCCACCCAATATGCACCTGCTGAATTAACGCGAGAACGAAATGTTGGTTCACCAGTGTTGTGGTCACAACTGGCGGGCTTTCTCAGTCAATCTCGGACAACTTGGCTGATTGAAACAATCTTACTTTTGTTAATAAAAGATGAAAATGTGATGTACTCGTAAAACACAGGCAACGTTAGTCTGCATGACGATTTCATGTTTTCCACCAAAGACTTCCAGTCGCAACTTCTGATCTTGGTTTATTGTTTTCAGTGACTATGCACTTGAGTGTTTGCTATTTATGCAATTGCATCTTCAGCCAATTTATACACGAGGTGAAGATTACTATGCACCGTTAATAGGTGTGTGTATGTCACACCAACAGTCTAATTGTGACGCGCTTGTATCACAGGAGGTCATTATCATTCTTAGAAGGTGCTGTTTACCAACATGGTGCTCTGCTGTCTAGCACTGAGCTAAACATTTTCAAATGTGGCCAGTCATTTCCACATGACTGAATTAGGTTTGTGTGGTTGTGCTGGGAAAAAATTGAGAAGTCGTTAGTGTTGTAAAAGACACCAAGATCGCTCACTGTCAAATTGAAATACCACAACGGTCCAAAAATGAGCACTGGCCAATTCTCGGAATCGCTTCATGTTGTGATTTTTGTTTATCTTGTCTGGGGGGGTTTCCTTTTCAACTGGAACTCTTGTGTTTCTATTTCCAAACACAACTTGACGCTGTAAACATTCCGTGTGTTTGGAGTTGTCTTCATCTCACTAGTTCTGTTGCAGATTGAATGCATGTAACTAACGTGTTGTGTAACAGGCAGTTTCTTTTTGTTTTGACAAACATGTTGAACGTGAAAAGGGTTTCGGAAGTATGTGGACACTGCTGCTCACAATCTAACATCAGTGTTCCATCTGGTTCAACTAGTTTGTTCCACGCAATGTGGGAAGTGAAGGGGGTTGTTCGTAGTGTCAAAGAGGGGTGGGTGGAATTCTGTCAAATATGAGGCAGCCTAAAGTCAAACTGGACTTTCGGTGGGTGGACTGAGAAAAGCGCTTTTCAACAAAACGGCCTGTACAGTACACATTGGATTGCAGCACTGATGCCTTTCAGTGAATTTTGAGCTATTTGGTGTAAAGCACTTGCTGTCCTCTACTGCCTGAAACAATGATGAGGAAGTTCCATTTTTCTTTTTTTTTTAAAGTACACTTTTTACAATGACAATTTTTTTTTTGTTCGATGTCATCTGCTTTTCTGTCTTTACATTTGTTGGCGTTTTATATTTTGTCTCATTTTTTTCAGTCCATGTCAATGAGAAGCTGTTATATTTTTGTTTAAAAAACTTGGGTAAACAGTCCTTTGTACAAAGAATAAAAATAAAATTTGTACTTTTCTATGACAACATGCTTGATCATTAAATGTGCTCAAACTATTTATCCTTTGGCTGTTGGACAAAAACAGTGAGAGTTTTAGAGGAGAGTGTCTAGTTACTACAATCTCCATATTGAAAACTAATCAAATTGTGTACTGAAATTGTACTATACAGTATAGTGAACCACCATTACATAGGATATGCGCATGGATGACATCCTGTACTTTATGCCCATTAGTGAGCTAAGCATCTAGTCCATTAGTGAGCTTCTAAGCATATTTGTAGATAGCTGTATTGGTTTATTTTACAAAGTTTAAAATTACTCTATTTGCCCATTCATGTAAATTGAATACTGTACTACATTAACAATTAAATAAATCAGATGAACCAAAAAGTTATGACAATATAAACAGCAGTCAGTGTGCTCTACATCTGAGTCAAAAGAGTGGCTTCAGCAGAGGATTAAAATTTCACAAAAGTTCATTTGAATTCTGTTAAAACTGCAAGCTGAAGAAAAGAGGGCAAATGTACATGTTCAACTTTCACTGTCACCTTCACTGATCCACTTGATCAGTCTGCAAGTGTTTGGAACAATCTTTGATCTTCTTCACTTGCTGGGCACTCAGAGTCTCTGAGCACATCGGACACACTGTCTCAGTCTCCAGTAACCTGAAATCAAAAGTCACCTTTTTTCAAATAAATTCATCCAAAGCTCGTGTCTTTCAATCGATACTGAGAAACCGGTAGTCATAATAAATTGTGGATGCATTTTGTTTCACCAAAGTGTGACTGTGTCAAAACTATAGCATTCCAAATAACTGTGTGTCGCTTACAGGATGAACTGCGAGTAGAGTGCAGGAAATTCGCAATGAGGACACACAGACCAGTCTTCTTTCAGCATATGACGACCCTATCGTTGTGGTGATAAAGCAAGACAAAAGAAACTAAATGTGATTTTCCAGGAGGAAATTGTCAAGTGTTTGATCAGCCAGCCCCAATGAGTGGTCGAGCGCACTCACTGTGGCAATGCAATAGGGGAGGTTGTTCTTGCACGAGATGCACAGCAGTTCATTCTGCGGAAGCTGAAAGCCACAGTAAGGACACGGGGTAGTTTCCTCTTCCAACTCTGATGTATCTGGACGCCTAACAACATGAAAGTCGGGTATCAAATGAACAGATCATAGATGACCACATGATGTACAGTGTATACCGCTGAACATTCAGATTTTCTTGGGGATTCTCATGGAGTTTGAGCAAGGGCGAGCAAATGTTTGTGCTCAAGGGATGCGTTTGGTTTCTAAAACAGACACATGGTCCCGGTGACGTACATAAGATAATAATAGTTATGATGCTGATGTAAAATGTATGTAAAGGCTATTATTCATAATATACAATTCAAAGCGTGGCACTGATTTTTAGAACAGGAACATGGGCTGCTACTCAAGGGGTCTACCTGGTGCCTGTTTGCACCACATTGGTGATACCTGAGTTACAGTGTAGCTGCTCTATCTAGTGGTGAAGTTCATAAATTACAGTTTCCTCATCCTTTTGACAAAGGCAGAACAATTTTCAAAAAGAAAGACAACATTGAATAGTCAACTTTCATTTGAGCACATGTGTGACTGTGTGTGGTATGTAAAGTCAGTTGACGCCAGGAGAGTGTGTCATGCTGGTTGCTCACCGAACCATAGCCTCAATCTTCTTCCTGTAGTTCTGGTGTATCTCGTTTCGGTACTCAGGCCGCATGAGCATGGCGGCAAAACCAAAGGCGGAGTTTTTCAATCCGGCTCGGTGACATTCAATGACCGCCGATGTCAAAATGGGCACAACATCTGCAGCAACACAACACACAAAGTGAGACCTTGTTCAAAAAAATGTCTTTTTCTATATTAGGCTCATTGAAAATTTGAAATTATGTCAAGGTGTGACTGCAAGTGTGAATGGAATTGGCTCCAGCTCACCCGGGACACCGACGATAAAATGGGATGAATAGCTCCGAATCAGAATCATCTTTATTGGCCAAGTATGTAAAAACACACGAGGAATAATAGCTGCATTGTTGTCGAATGACTTACGTGCAGGAAACTTGCTGATATTTTTGCTGACACGAATGAGCATACGTGCCCCTTTAAGGTGGTCTCTCCTCTTGATATGAACCTGTATGGAAAGTTTTTTTTTTAAATCTTATTTACAACAATCTTTATTGTTATTGCACAGTGTGAAACAGCATTTGACTCATCTTTCTCTTGGCTAGGGTATAGCGATGTAATAGTATTTAATATGCCCTGTGTGGAAAAAAAAATAAACTTAATAACTGGTTAGGCCATCCTCAGCAGCTTCAACTGAAATCAATCGATCAGGGAAATTTCTATTCCTGTCAATGAGTCTTTCACATCTCCGTGGAGATATTTTGGCCCACTCTTCCTTGCTGAATTGCATTAATCCAGCAATATTGGAGGTTTTTGAGCATGAATGGCCTTGCACATCATTTCAATCTGAATCAAGTCCAGACTTTGACTAGGCTACACCAAAGCCTTTATTAAATTTTTGATGCCATTCATAAGTTGACTTGCTGGCGTGCTTTGGATCATTAAATGCAGAATATGCCTCCTCTTAATATTTATACAGAGCTATGTTTTATTTATTTATACAGTGGTTATAAAAAGCCTACACGCCCCTGTTCTGACAGGTTATAATGGTATGGAAAAAAATGAGAGCAAGTTAAATGATTAAAAATGAAAATCCACCAGTAATGTGATCCACAACCTGTTCAACCTGGAGTCAATTAATAAAAAAGAAAAAAACTGAGATAGAGCTCTATTTTTGTAGGCAGATCACCTGTACTCAAGCATAAAAACCGGCGCATCTTGATTTTCCTCCAGGTGCAAGCCTCTTTGAATGTGTTTGGAAATTTTTCAAGTGAAGATCTTCTTGGTCTTCTTTATATACATACTTTGCGCGCATCGCTTTCCTGCATGGACTCCAGCGAGTCAGTTTATGCTTTCGCTCTGTAGGCCGTGCACCTCTCTTGCACCTAATTTAAAGGGAATGAGAGGGGTGGCTTCCATTGGCTGGGAAGCAAGTCGGCTGCGTTCATACCCACACCGGTGCAACTACTCGTTTCTAACTGTGTGCGTCTACGAAAATAACCAAAAGAAAGACAACTCCACCCATGGGCACAGTTAGATCAGGCTTTTCGCTAGACTTGCGGCAGGAACAAAAATATAATGTCTTTAATAATTGGGAAAATCATATTCAAACTCATATTAAATGGGACTGATTGTTCGACATGTCAATTTGAGCCAATTCACCATATGTAAAGTGTCATAAAATCCTTAATCCTTACCCAATTATTACAAACTGAAGCTCATTTTATTAGTGCAACGGATCTCTATCCAATATCCTCTATTTTGATATGTTGTGATCATATAAGTTTGTTTGTTTTTTTTTTTTCATGAGAGACAGGATTTTAAAATTAAAGGCAAAGGCAAAAATAACCCTGAGTCAGGTATGTTTCCAATAAACCTATTCCACTAAAAGTATTTCATTGTTTTTGTTTGGCTGTCCATTTTACATTCATGACAAACAAAGGTATTTGTTTTATCAGCACTCACTTTTCCCAGCAGGTAAGAGTGCAGGATCATCAGGTTAGTGGCCATTTCTGCAGGAATCTTTATCTTGTGGGCCTGCAGTTGTGTGTACATGCTGAACAGCACATTGTGGGAGCTACGGTAGTTACCTGGTAGAAAACACACACAAGGAACACAGCTGCAAATCAGTTCAGAGTAGAGTGGTTGTATCACATTTATTATGCTGCAATGGTAGGTAAACGGCTTTTGGGATAGAGGGGATCATACCAGCATTCTGCTCTTCCCTAGCGATGATGATGGCAGTGCGAGCGGCTTCCCTGTACTGCTGCAGTGCCATGTAGAGTCGGAACAGGTACTTCGCATCCTAAAAATCCAAACCAGAAACAGTTAAAACGTTTTTAAAACTTTCAGACACCGTTGAGACTATTTTCTAATAGTTGTTTCTATGCTCAACAGCAAACACCAGTAATTTTTCTGAATTGCGTTATAGTTGCTGTATAATTGCAGTAACTAAAATCTTTTTATTTTGTAAAGGCATTGTGTTGTATCTCACCGAACGGAGAGGGTTATATGGAAACAGTTTCGGCTGGAACTGTCACGATAAAATGTAAAAAGGGGATGACACATAACACCGTATAATCATCACCTTTGGGATGCCATCGCTCTCCCCCATAAGGTATTCTATTAGTAGATTAGTCAGGGAGCTGTCTTTGGCTTGGCCCACCTGTTGGTAAACACACATAAAACACATGAATTTTGAACGCGGCTGACAGTGATTTTTGCACCGGACACACTGATCGCTCACTGTCTCAATGGCCATGTCCAGAGCCAGGCTGTCTTCCGTATTAGGACACTTCAGAAAGTGCTTCAGCGCCTGAGGAAGAGAACAAGAGAGGTTGATGCTGTAGGTGTTGCTGTTGAGCAACCTCCAACTGGGCCCCAAAGCGGCTCCTGCAGACCCAGTTGTCGGCTGTTGACTGGGACCTGTTCGTAGCCTGAAGGCACGCCCAACACCACTTGGAGGTCGTTCCCGAGTTGGGCTGATGCTGTAGCTGAGTGATTAGCGCGGATAATTATCTAAATGTACTCAATTGGTCAGAAATTATTTTCAATATCTTCAATCGTTATTTATTTACGACAATAATGTATGATTGGTCATCCATCTATGCCAGTGATTCTAAACAGTCTTCCACTAGATGGCAGAAGATACAATTAACCAGGCATCCATCTGTTGCCATTCATTCAACAGAATAAGTCACGGCAGCTGCAAGTATATCATCAGCTGTGGCTTCAACTAAGCAGGTCCACATTTCACAATAAGTCAGTGCATTTGTCAGTAAATCATTTCAGGGTTTTAGAATGTACGGTAACGTAAGAGTGTACTTAAAAAACATAAAGGTGACGTCCTACCCTGTTGTATTGTCCACATTTTTGAAAGAATTTGCCAGCTTGCAGGTGGTTCTTCTCTGCCTCAAAGTAGAGAGCGATGCTCTGATAATCCTCCAGTGTTGCGTCAGAGCCTGGTAAACGCGCACAAAGCGGTAAAGTGCATGGTGCAAAGCAATGAACCCAATTGCAGCATTTCAACTTAACGAGAGGTGACAGTCACAGACCGATGATATCCGCGTAGACCTCCATCTGTCTGTGCTGCTGTGCTAACTGGAAGGCTTCATCGTTGCACTGTGACAGCACCAGGAAGTGGATGGCCGAGCCGTAGTCATTTAACGACAAGAAGAATCTGCAAAGGACACAAACCCATCATATGAGCTGTTACAATGACACAAAAGAGCAGAATGAATGAATGAAAAGCATATCTTGCATGTATTTTTTTAAACAAGAAATATGTATACATACAACCAATGTTGCTGTGTGTGGTAATTTGCATGTGCAGCCACTTGATGACTCGATGCCCTTGCACAGTCAAATGAGCTCCGATATAAAAACTGTCTGTTTAGGGGTCTGTGTTTCTAATATTCCAGAAAATCAATATTGGATCTAATAATTCACTGAACGTCTCTCAGTAGATTACGATGCAGTTATACACCAACTGCAACCACAATAATTAACATCTTGTTAAAACTGAGCATTAACTTTTTGTCAAGGCAGACATTTTGTCTCACCTGGCCACCATTTTCGCTCCTTCAATGCTTTGCGTCTCTCTGACAATGCGAACAGCTCCTTCTGGGTTTTTCAGGTGATCCAGCAGCACGCGAGTTACATTGTCCCAGTCTTTTGCGCTCCCATAGGCTTGTGCTGCCTCCTTATAACTGAAGAACACAGAACCATTACCCCGTTTTTTTTTTTTTTTTTTTTTTAACGATTCCTGAGCTCAATGGAGACGCCAAATGGAACCTACTTGCCATCCGCCTCTTTGGCTTTAGCATACTGCAGGTGAATCTTGGAAGAGGTGACATTAGGCAGTAACTCCCCCACCTTTACCCTGAAAAAGGAGTTGTTTCACTGTCGACAACTTGAGACCATTCAGGATATGAGCGCTGCTATTTTCGGGATTTGTCTCACCAGTTTTTGCAGCGAATATAAACCGATGCTGCCTTGTCATAGCACTGTCCTTTTTCATAGAGCTGTGCAGCTTCTGAGAATTGCTGCAATATAAAACAAAAAAAATCAAATACATACACACATCCATCATACCGTACAGGAATTTAGATACATAAAGGGCACTAAAACTAAACACTTACCTTCATGCTTTCCAGTATGGCTGCGCATTCTTTCTTCAGGACTCTACTTGGGTGCTGAATAGCCTGTGCCACTCCTCTCCTTATGTCACCCATCCGAATGGACATTCTGGCTACACCTGCCTGGCATACCTCATCATGCTCCTGGAACTGCAACCCAAGGGATAGTAAGAAAACAGTAGAGTAAAAAAGGAAACAACATTGATAAAAAAACAACAACAGTATGACAGTGTCATCCTTATTCAAACTAGACAATGTTTGTGCCTCATCATATGATACTCTTGACTTTAGAAAATCAGTGCGTTTCCGTGGGACCATATGATTGTGCCTTTCCAAGGATGATAGTACTGATTTACTAATTTTTGATTCATATGGTCTGAGGGGTATTAATTTCACAATCTGTTCATGATTGTGATTAAATTGTTGTGCTGCATTACACTGAAAGTTGTTCCCATTTTTGACTCGCATGCAGAAGCATTCACTTAACACTTCATTATGACGTCAAAATGCAAAAATTGAAACTGTTGCACTTACTTTATTATTATGAGTCATTCCTTTCTCATAATGTGCCAGAGCATTCATGTAGTCTCCACTACACAGAGAGAGAGAGAGAGAGAGAGAGAGAGAGAGAGAGAGAGAGAGAGAGAGAGAGAGAGAGAGAGAGAGAGAGAGAGAGAGAGAGAGAGAGAGAGAGAGAGAGAGAGAGAGAGAGAGAGAGAGAGAGAGAGAGAGAGAGAGAGAGAGAGAGAGAGAGAGAGAGAGAGAGAGAGAGAGAACCAGATGATGCATCAGATCTAACATTCAAGATCATAGCAGGATGAGGATTGTTTCTGGGTGTGTATAATTACATAAACTCCAGATGAACGGCATATTCTTTGGAGAGAAATGGTATCTGGTCTTCTGCTAACCCCTTAGCTAACTTCAGAGCGCTGTCCCAGTGCAGCAGGTCTCTCCTCATCTGAACAATAAAGACAATTAACGTACAACAACTTGTTAGTTTACAATGCTGAAGCCCCAAAACTATGTCCAGTATATATGTACATATGTGTGTGTGTATGCATGTATATATCTACTGTATGTATCTGACCTCCAGGGCAGCTATGGGGCAGCTTGAGGCCAAATAGAGGTCCTGAGCAAGACAGAAGTCCTCCAGGAACATGGCCAAGTGGCCTGCAAGTAAGTTATAATCCTCAATGCCCTATGAATGAAAAAAAAAAAAGTTTAGTGTTTCTTCTTGCATTCACGAACTTCATGTTTCATTTGTTCGAAAAGGCAAAGCTATTTGGCAAGCAATGTCCAAAGCTCCACCGGCCATAACTGTACCTGGATGGCCTGCAGTGACATCACCATTCCCACATTGCCACTCATGCGGTAGAAGTGGATGGCCAGCTCAACTTCCATGTGAACCAGACAGGCTTTACCAATCTCTGCCTTGTCAGCCTCACTGCCTTCAGTCAAGCACAGATCCCAGGCTTCGTAAAACCTTGTGACAAATGTGCACACAGGTCAGAATTGTCTGCCCTTCATAAATGGAACACCACCCACTGCTGTACTAAGATGAAGAGACTAAAAAGACTTGACAAATACATATAAGTATAACCACAAAACGCTAATCAAGTCCCCATGGAGGGTGTTTTTTTTTAACACACAAGGAACAATTAGGAACCAGTGTCATAATTGACCAAATGCAGAGTATCATAAATGCTCGCTGAATAAGTAGAAAAGCAACAGACTGCAATGTTTTAGCCCTATGCATTGATTTAAATTTTAAATTCTGACCATTTACTTGTACCAAAGGATTGAAAAATAATTTTTAATGATTTCACAGACACACTAACTAAAAAATATGGCAAATGGTTAGCAGAGTTGACAGAGAGACTTCTTGCTGTAATTGGAAACAAATCCCTGAAAGTGGAAACAAAATTAACTCCCCAGGAATCTGCAGAGAAAAAATGTTGATTCCGTGGAGAACAATTCTGATTCTGTGGAGAACAAATTTCGATTTCGCGGCTTGAAATTTCCATAGGCCTTTAAAAAAAAAAAATAAAGATTCAAAATGACTAGTTATAAAGCAAATTAATGTATTAATGAATGAAGAATTCTTTTGGGAAGTTATCTGCAAAACCAAAACCACTTGACCTTGATATAAGCATACTGCATACAGTATGATAATAAATGTAATTCAACCGCACAGACAGTTCATTTATTACGCACGGCAGTGACGTGACCTCATCTTTAGTAGACGGCTCCATTATTACTGGAAGTCTCCATGAAATGAAGAGAAAGGAAAGCGTTGCCTCATTTCCCTCCAAAGCTCCACCGGCCATAACTGTACCTGGATGGCCTGCAGTGACATCACCATTCCCACATTGCCACTCATGCGGTAGAAGTGGATGGCCAGCTCAACTTCCATGTGAACCAGACAGGCTTTACCGATCTCTGCCTTGTCAGCCTCACTGCCTTCAGTCAAGCACAGATCCCAGGCTTCGTAAAACCTTGTGACAAATGTGCACACAGGTCAGAATTGTCTGCCCTTCATAAATGGAACACCACCCACTGCTGTACTAAGATGAAGAGACTAAAAAGACTTGACAAATACATATAAGTATAACCACAAAACGCTAATCAAGTCCCCATGGAGGGTGTTTTTTTTAACACACAAGGAACAATTAGGAACCAGTGTCATAATTGACCAAATGCAGAGTATCATAAATGCTCGCTGAATAAGTAGAAAAGCAACAGACTGCAATGTTTTAGCCCTATGCATTGATTTAAATTTTAAATTCTGACCATTTACTTGTACCAAAGGATTGAAAAATAATTTTTAATGATTTCACAGACACACTAACTAAAAAATATGGCAAATGGTTAGCAGAGTTGACAGAGAGACTTCTTGCTGTAATTGGAAACAAATCCCTGAAAGTGGAAACAAAATTAACTCCCCAGGAATCTGCAGAGAAAAAATGTTGATTCCGTGGAGAACAATTCTGATTCTGTGGAGAACAAATTTCGATTTCGCGGCTTGAAATTTCCATAGGCCTTTAAAAAAAAAAATAAAGATTGAAAATGACTAGTTATAAAGGAAATTAATGTATTAATGAATGAAGAATTATTTTGGGAAGTTATCTGCAAAACCACTTGACCTTGATATAACAATACTGCATACAGTATGATAATAAATGTAATTCAACCGCACAGACAGTTCATTTATTACGCACGGCAGTGACGTGACCTCATCTTTAGTCGACGGCTCCATTATTACTGGAAGTCTCCATGAAATGAAGAGAAAGGAAAGCGTTGCCTCATTTCCCCCAAATAATTCCACCACCTCCCGCATCGCTCGTCAGTCGATATAAGATGATCAAACAGAGCCCCTCCACGTTGGATCATATTTACTTCCGTAAATACTGCCACAAGTCATCATCTTTTTGCGTGTGTCACTCAATGTTGGGCTTTGTGGGCTTGCATGTCACATCACGGATGTGTTAAGATTAGAGGATGCATTTGTTTTGTCAACGAAAACAAAAAAATAGCAGATTTAACAACAACAAAAAAATCTGAATTGGGCATCATGCCCTGGAGCGTGAACATGGCCTGCCCGACTGCAGTATCTAGCAGCCTGGCCGAAAACAACATGTAAATGTAATGTTCTACACCTTGCCCTTATTTCCACTGATTGTTTTCAATTCTGCGGACAGCAAATTTCGGGATCGCAGAATCCCGGATTTCTGCGGAAACTACAAAATCATGGAAACTTGTGACCAGTGAACTGATGACTAGTGGTGACAAGATTTGAAGCCTCCAGCCATTTTCTAAATTAATAAAAACTGACACTGCCAAGAAATCAAGTCCCTCCAATCAAAAGCAGTAGAGCTAACCTTTTAAGCTGGAGGGCCTGTGTGAGCTGCTTGCAAAGTTCTGGCTGTGACCCAGACGGCGTGCTTGTTGAGTGTTCAAGGAAGGAATGTGTGCTCAGAGCCACTTCACTGATCTTGCCGCTCGCCGTCTGGCATGTTAGCACCCCATTGTAGAGCAGCAAAGGTTTCTGGGAGGAGAGAAGAGGAGTGCTCCCCACTAACACCACTCGTGGGCCTAGATGATCAGGATGGGACATGAAAACATAGATTAAAGAAACAGTCCTGATCATCATCAATCAATCACAGGATGACTGTGAATCCCATTGCCCACAACATTACTGATGCTAACACTTAAATAACATCAAAAAGGACACCTGTGAAGTTTGGGTTTGGCGTTTCCCTACCATATATGGTGGTTTTATGCACAGCGTAGGTGTAGACTTTGTCATCATCGAAAGCTACAAAAACTACTCTGTCAGCGTGCCAGTTGTCCCACAGCACTCCAGTGATGGTGGGGGAGAAGTTTGGAAGCTCAAGGCACAAGTCTGCTGCCTGTAATGACCGAACACAAGAATTTGAGCAGAGATCTCATTCTGAGAGAGTCGAGGAGGTCAAGTGAACAAAATATAAACTATCTATCCATGACTTTTCTTTTATGCCTGGGGTTGCTGGAGCCTATCCCTGCTGACTTTGGGCAAGGTATATCTTGGACTACCGGTGAGCCGGTCCAGTTGGCTGGCAAGAGAAGAATAACCTATTGCATTCACATTTACACCGAAGATTAATGTATAGCAGGGGGCCCCAACCTGCAGGCCGTCGACTGGTACCAGTCCATGGCACATTTGATACCAGGTCACACATCAGAGTTTAAAAAAAAATTTACTTTGAAAATCAGGTACAAACGCCTGCGCCTCATGTCAAACAGCTCATCTCGATTACAGGTTAAGGTAGTAAAAAAGTAAGACCACATGCTCACAAAAATGATTTAAAAAAAGCAAATGTCTTTGGAGAGCTTCCTCTCTCTGGCCCCACTGGAGACATTGCTCTGAAGGCTTTTTCGTAGCAATTTCGGGTTTCTCCCTCACAAAAGACACCGGTTGGGGTACTCGCCATGTCTTACGCAAATGTCTTTGGAGAGCTTCCTCTCTCTGGCCCCGCTGGAGATATTGCTCTGAAGGCTTTTTCGTAGCAATTTTGGGTTTCTCCCTCACAGGAGACACAGGTTGGGGTACTCGCCATGTCTTACACTGTTGCCTGAATGTGATTTAATATATTCGTGGGTTTCATGTTGTGTTGTACTGCAGTGATATCAGATTGTTGATTTATCAGCCACAGGTACAATCTAAAGAATCTTGGTCTCAAATTGGCTGTGTTTTCAGTTGGCCATAAGTGTATCAATTGTGCACATTGTATGTACTCACACTTGAAAGGGTGAGCAGGAAGCCGCTCTTCTTGTCATCAATAAAGATCAACCGTGTGCCATTTACATCTGGGAAAACTTTACTTAATGGCACGGTGTGGCTGTAAGTGCTCACAGTTTCCCAATCTTCCACCAGGACACACACAACGTTACCTAACTGGAAGAACAACAGAAGGAACTCAGGAATCCAGTGAACGGAATGAGAAACAGGAATTCTGCATATTTCTTTTCTAAATACAGATCATTAAAACATGGATAAATGAGCAAGTGCTTTGGCTGTTGCCGAGCCTTACATCAGTGCCATAGTAGAGGAAGTCAGCGGTGAGAGCGTGGCAAAGGATCCGACCTTTTCTGTCATCGTCTGGGAACAACTTCATTTGCTTCCTCTCCTCCTGCTCACTGCCATCGATCTCGAAATCAAACAAGGTAACAAGCATAAATATGTTTTGTGTGGAATTCACTAATAAGCTAATGGACACAGAACATAAATACGGTAAATGTGACTTACCATGTGCAGTTGCACTTTACCATCAAACAAAGCTGCGGCATATTTTGCATTAAGACACATGTTGGCAACTGTCCCGAAGTACTCAATCTCCCTCAGTTTGGTAAAAGCTGAACAAAAATAGTCCATTAAAACGAACCGCGTGAAGTGATCTGACGTAATGGACGATTGTTAAACATGACACACACCAGATTCTTGTTCAAGAAGTGGTGCATAGAACCAAGCTTTGTTGTTCATTCCAACAGCAACATGGTAGGGTCCCACAGCAATAAAAGTTGGTTCTACTTCCACTTGTATGGCCACAGGAGGTATCTGCAAAATAACTGAGTTACTAAGGCACACAATGAGTCCAGTGAGGAGTCTTTCGGGTTCCAATAAATGCAAGTCCTCACCCCATAGTTTGACACTGTGACCTCCAGCAGAGATGTAAGGTAAGCCAGTCTGGTTCCATAACTGTCCCCCAGAATAGGAAGCTTTGTGAGGAAGACATGAAGAGTGCCCCTCTGTGTGGATACTGCCAACAGCTGGCCATCATCTGTCCAACTCAGCTGGTCCAGACCTGAGCCGACATAGTACGAGTCAAGCCGACAGATGCGTGGCAGACAAACGTAGTGCTTTGTAGCTGATTTTGAGTTGTCTTGACGCGTCTGAGCCCGTGTATTGTGACATACTCGACGACGACGAAAATTTAGCCTGTCAGAATTTTTGTTCGTCTTGTCGTATAGGGTGACATGTCTTACGAGGTCCTTCGATTGATTTGTTGGCGTTAACCAATAGGAAGAGAGTGCCCTCCTACTTATGATGTCAGACTGGAAGTGGCGCACACAATCACAATGTGGTGTACAGTATTTAAAAAGTAACTTGAACAAAAGGGGAAATCTTGGAAAGTATACATCGCATTTCAACTCATGCTACGTTTGCTAATTGCCAAGCTAGTAGCTCATTAGCAAGCGTGGTGTCATTCAACCAATCCGTGACTATGAAGTTCTTTTTGGCAAATCGACAGTCCATACTACCCTCTCCCCACCATGCAGGAACGGATCCATAGTACCTTTTTCTAATATAAATTTTTTGCTTTTTCTGTGCAGGAAACACATGCACATAATGCCTCCATCAACATGACTTAGACAGCTGCTTGACTTTGACAGTGGCTCTCTGTCAGACCTGCGCCGATGGACTGAATCTTGACAGGAGCAAGCAACAATTGAGCGGTGTCTGGTCGGTGACAGACTTGTAGTGTAACGTTTCACCCGGTCCAAGACATAGAACGGTATTTATCTGGTAGTCTGACAGCGCGACAACAACCAAAAAATTGTGAACAATGAAGAAAGTCAGGTAGTTTGAGAAGGCCATCGGAGAGAGACGTGCAGGGTACATTTCAAACTACTGTAATAGCAGGAAACTTCCTCACCTTTTGTCTCATCCTCCAGCTGAATCACGTTGCTAATGTATTTGAGGTCAGCGAGATCATGGATCTTTATGCTGCAATGTACACAGGGATTTAGTTTGATTCATCCTACCTCACTGAAGCGTAACCTCCATTAAGAGGTTATACATACCTGTTGTCCCCACAAGAGGCAGCCTTGTTTAATGCAGATGAGATGGCTACACTGTTAAGACTGTCTTTATGGTTGCGAGCCTGGCAGAGCTCATGCCCAATCTCTCTGACATGAGTGGAAATTACCACAAAGTACCCATGGGAGAAGCCAATGAGAATATAGCCATCACCAAACCTGATAAAAGTGGAAGAAAATCCCAGAGAATACTGTATTCAATGTGTGCGTTTTGCCACAATAGTAATAAAACAACATCATCGTGCTTTTTTTTTAAATACCCAAAGACATTTATGTAATGTTGTGCGTGTGTGCCGTACCAGCGATAAGAGACGATGCGCCCATAACTCGCCTCAAACGCCAGCTCATACCAGTCTTCGGTGTTGGTGATGCTGAAAAGGACCAAGATTTTCTTGTCCACGCAGACACTCACCTAGACAATCAAATGCCATGTAAGTAAGCATTTGCAATGCAATTCTATAAATACACTTTATGTACACTGATAAAATACAATGCAAGTGATGTCAGAAAGTCTGCCTAAACTGAAATCATTGTAAATGCACTTTATTGAAATCAGACCGTTATTAGTTAAACTGTATGCTTACTGTAGTGGTAGTAGTTTATTGGGATGTAGACCTAATGAGTTCACCATCCATACATATTTTTGTCCCCGCTTAACCTCTCGAACCATTCACGCTCACCTTAACACTTTTAGGACAATTTAGAATCGTCAATCTACTTGAGAAGCATGCTTTTGGAATGTGGGAGGAAGCCAAAGTAACCAGAGAAAATCCACTGTTGAAAGTGCCATTGAAAAAGAACACACTGAAACTCACAGTGTTCTCTCCTTGGGAATTCCTTTCGCTAGTCTTCATCATGGAAAAGTAAATGTCTGCAGGTGCACCACGCAGTTTTATCTGTAACAAAATAAAAACATGTCTGCTCAGTACATTGTAGGCACATGTGTTTGCTATGATGTCATGATACTTGTTTATAGTTACTTCTATTTCCCTTACACAGAGCTCCAGTAATGTAAATGATATGTGTGACCCTTATATCAGCAAAGGTGTGCAGCTGCATGCTGCAATGTGTTTTGTGTTTTCCATGTGACCACCTCTCGGATTGTGTCCCCCTCTTGATTGCTAATGCTCAGATTGTTGTCATCGCAGCCAAGGGCCAGTAAATTCTGAGCATTCCAGCAGCCACAGGTTATTTTCTTGGTATGTTTGCCTACCATGCATGGCAACAGAGGTGAGAGAAGAATGACATAAACCGAGCAGAAATGCTGAAAACGATCATGCTTGTTATGTCATTTACCTAAAATTGGAATCTTGTGTGAGGTCTGCTGATTGTAGATCAACAGGTTTCCTTTGGCAGTGCCGGCTGCCAGCAGGGGCCCCATTTTTGACCACACAATGAGAGAAATGTGATCTCTGTCAGGGAAAATATTTTTTTGAAATCATTGCGCCTCTGAAACGGGTCTGTTTGTCTGAGCAACATAGAAAATATGACTAATAAATGTTGAATTAATATTAAATATACAGTAAAAAAAAATCAATCTTCACCACTAATTTAGTGGCCTTAATTCCCATTTTCAGAGCATCTAATTTAACTATAACCAGTGAACAGTGGGACAAATAAACCAGGATTACACAAATAGATGTCCACGGAGCTTTGTAGAAAGTTGGCGTGTGTACCAAGGAAGAAACCATTACTTTTGGTGACAATCCAGATAAATTTCCAGATAGGAGAATGTATTTTCACTACTGAATAACATTGTAGTTATGGTACTTATATACAGCCATCATAGCATTGTTCAAACAGTTCATCTAAATTGCACAAGACTGAATGCAAGTATACCTCATTCCACTATCTATCTTTGAAGTTTTATTGATACTGGCATCCCATAAGTATATGGAGCTGGATTTTGCTGCTATCACTGCCAAAATGTCCCCATCCTTATCCCAGTCCATTCCCACACAGCGTCTAGGAGAACATGAAAAAGCGAAGGATTATTTCAAACACATCTTTGGACTCATATTTTAACATCTATTCTCTGACACATACCCTGGAAGGCTGATTTCAGTCCACTTGTGTCCATGGCGATCAAATATTTTCACTGAGCTGTCTTGTCTGTTGGGTTGTATACATTGTGCATGGGTTGAGTGAGGTCAAACTTTGTATTTAACGTGGTATTCATTTTCACTCACCCTGCAACAGCTATATAATTTCCAAGGGATTTCTGCCACTTGTACAATAACTTCGAGCCCATCCAAGCATTGTCTATGAGAGTAAAAATGCTCTGTGGACACAATCAGGACATTTGGCTGAAGACCATTTTCTAATTTAGTCAAAATAAAGGTACTTCAACAGACACAACATATGACAAATCATTACATCCGGTCAGGAAGGTTAGGCAAGTAACGGCATCTTTTTTTCATGTACAACATGTGCAAAAGTGTCCAATAGTAAATACGTATTGGTGAGCACACGCAGACTCCAGGGTGACAAGAATTGGTCGCATACAATAGCTGCGTAAGGCAATATACACTTAATTCGTTTTACAAGAAGCTGACATGAAAAAGCAGTTCCACTACAAACTTGTCAAAAATTTTCAAAAAGTTTCGTTATCCGATCAGCACTACCTTTAGCAAGTTGCTCGCTAATTGAAGACATATTCATTATTTTTTAACTCAATTATGTTTTGCTAACCCAAAAAACAGTCATATTTACGTAATACCAACCTTCATCTTGATAAGATTAGATGTTTGTTCGATCTATTAGGTGCTGAGGTTTGACCCCACGAAGCTACGCCTTGTTTAAAATAATTTTCAAACTACATTTCAACACAGGTTACTTGCGGTACTAGGCAGCCACATGATGAAAGAATAGCTTTGCGGAAGACGTGAGAATTTGCAGACGCCAAAGCGTCTGGAACAGAAGTCATAGCAACAGCCCTGAGCCAATCAAGAGCTTACAAAGATCGCTTCCGGTTTATAAACCGGATATCTGAGTTGAGGGAGTTCTCGTGTCTGCTTATCCGACTAGGAACATGAACTGACTGATTACTGCATACGTATAAAAAATGTTGAACTTGGAATGCTGTTTTGAGAACGTTCTGACAATTAATCAGGAAACATCCATTATGCTTGCGTTTTTTTGTATGGTTACATGCTTTAAATTGTGACCTTTACTCTTCTTTCCTGCAGTCAACCGGAAAACTGTTAGTACGAGTCCCCCACGGTGGAGAGTTTTGTGTGTGCGTGTGTGCGTGTGTGCGTGTGTGTGTGTTGGTTTGTTTTTGGCGTGTCTATGTAACATATTGTACATTTTTGATTAAGACAATTCTGAGTTTAAAAGTTGTCGTGAAATAAAGTGTCGGTATGGCTCTAAATGTCCTTGTTAGTATGGCTTGTGTGCCTGTCTCCTCCTTCGTACTTAGCACAGTAGTATCCGCACCTGTCTCTCGTGGCACACTAGCACCCTGGTTGGGAAATACTACGTTACCGTGCTGTTGAAACATTCATAATTCATTTCATTTCCACAAACTAATTCGTTCATGAAGGTACAATGACTCAAGCTATGCTCCCCCCTCTGTATGTTTCATTCATTTTGTAACTGTATTTATTAATTTTAAATTACAAAAAATGTTTCTACTCTGAAGTCATCAACATTTCATACTATACTACTGAATAGTAGAGTAACTGTGTACAGTATTCTATACAACACTCATAATTATGCTAGTTTTTTAGTGCTGGAATCCAAAGTAGGGGTAGAAGCTTCGAAAGGTTGCTGAAATAACCAATCAGGGTAAGAAAACAGTTGCTGTGTCCCACCTCCGCTGGGCACATGCCCCCTAATTCTGTCTGAGGGGTATATATATCCCGGGAAGAGGAGGGGGAGGCCCCTGGCAGCCAAAATGAAGTCTCTGGTCCATGTGTGCTGTGTTCTGGCTCTGCTGGCTCTGACTGCTGCAGGTATGGCTGAGAGGCTTTGGTGTTTGTGCTGCAACATGTCAGTGCAGCGGTGCTTTATGTTTGTGAAGTGCAGCTTTCATGAGGCATGTATGCGGCAAAGTGAGGGAGTGCTTATACACTGCAACGGAATGACTACACGCTAAATGTGTTCATGTAGTGTGGACACTAAATTATTGCTCAGGGACCATATAGTGAACTGGCATACTGTACTTTTTGAACTATTTTGAACCAGAGGTCAAAAGATAACTTGAAAAATGTATTTTGGAATCTGAACAATACTGAAAAAGTGTGTCAAATAGTTTGGAGTTTTGAGGGTATAAAATAGAAATGTCAGTCTGAGGTGGGACACCAGCTGATGGAAAATGTTCTGCCTGCTGGTTGAAGAGACAACGGTGACAGATCGCCTTGGGCTCACTACATACCCTACACCCACATGCGCCCACTCAAAACACCAGTTAATAACTGTGAAATAAATTAATTTTCCACTGATTCTTTCTTCATTATTATTTTTGGATCTTCCAATCCAACAATGATAGTAATTCTATTAAGTATCATACATCTGAACTAGCTGTAAAGAGGTTTATATGCTATTAGTTTGCACTATAAACTCAATAAGGATACCCTTGTTTGTGTCCTTGAATAGCTTCATTTTGGACCCAGCAAACAGCTGAAGTCACACGTCATGCATTTGTCGAGGTGAATCGTCACCAGATACTCGGCTCACTGATCTCTTTGTGGCTTTCCAGAATCCATAGATGTCTTTATTAAACGGATATGCACACACAGATACATTAACTTGAGGTTATACGCCAATCCAATTGTATTTCATTATTGTGGCATTTAGATCAAGCTCATTGTCTCATGTAAAATTGTTAATTTGTCTTTCTGGCATCACGGTGCCTGCAACAGACACGCTAAAGCACATAAAGGACAAGAATATACTGAGAATGTACAGATTTGCTTGCAGTAATATGTGCCTCAATTCCCAAGCAAGAATATAGTTTCAAATTGTGGTCTCAAACACGCACGCACGCACGCACGCACGCACGCACGCACACACACACACACACACACACACACACACACACACACACACACACACACACACACACACACACACACACACACACACACACACACACACACACACACACACATAGGAAGTCTCTGTTGCAAAAACAGTGGACCAATACACAATATACACTTTATACGCTGTGCTACAAGTATCACAATGGAAATGAATAAAGTTTAGTTTTGAGTGACACCTGTCAGAGATTTATTAATTTAACTGTACCGTATGTTTGTTATTGTGGTGCTGTAGGGTAGAAATGTATACCATCACACTGAAAGAATATTAAAAAAAATTGTCGTATGATTTATATAGCTAAACGCAAAACCACCACTTTACACCAATGAGAACTACAACCACAACAGTAAGCATGTCACAAAATACTGACAGTGTCATTCAAAAGTGAAACTGATCATTTGTGCATTGTTAACACAGCCCTTCTATTGGTTGGATTGTGCAAATGTTCCAAATGTTGTGTCTATCAAGTGGATAAAGGAAAATAAATTAATGAATTCAATGGAAACTGGACCAAATGTAATATCAATAGGTTTGAAGTTGTTGCAAATTTCCTTGAATTTAGGTATTATCATTCAGTATATGAGTACATTTTCAGTAGAATAAACTGGAACTGTGCAAAATATAATGATTCTCTCTAATAAGGTTACACTCAGGGTATAAGTGGTCTTTACTATATCGAGTAATTTGATTTATTTTGGAATAAAATAATCATGTATTATGGAGAGAAATAGAACATTTGAAAATACCGTATGGCTTTATTTGCAGGCAGGATGGTGGCCGAAAGTGGTGGTTATCACGCTTGCATCACAATGGGGAGTTTGTGGGTCTGAATCCCAAATCATGCATTCCTGTGTGGATTTTTCCCCTTGCTCAAAGTCACCTGGGAATAACGACAACAACAAAAAAAAAAGCATGGGTGGAAATGAGTTTGCAAGCATGTCTGCCGACGGCAAGACAAAATGCTGACTGTTATTTTGAAATATTTTACAGTTTGTACAAATGACCCCAATATCCACTTACCGGTACAGTAATTCCCATCAACCATATCATTGATTCACTTGGAAATTGTTGACTGTATTTCCAAAGTTCCTTACGAAACATTCACTGGAAGTTACAACCATTTTTGTAAGTCCTAAAGTCCATGCATGAATTTCAGTTTATTCAATCATGACTCATCCACATCCATATTATGCTGCTAAGCAGATGTCAATACATCTACTGATGCATTTATTGCTGGAGGTTTTTTGCATTCTTGCACAACCATCGAAGCTGTTTGCAAAGCATGAACAGGAAAGCGTCACACCCCCTAAAATAAATGCAAGCACATATATCCCTCCTTTTTTCAGCCTATGACTCAATGTGGGCCTATTTCTGCATCCGAAAGGTGACATTCAGCACCAAGCCACATCCCACCACACTGCACATTCTTCCCAGATTTCCAAGCACCCTCAACGTGGTGCAGGAGGTGACCAAGCAGCCCTTAAACCGAAACTTACTTGCTGACATTTGGGGAACATTGATGTAAAGACCAACCTCCTTTTATCCTGTACTATAATTACGGCAACACGGTGCACAATGAACATGTGACATTCGACGCATTAACTTGAATGATGACAATCTTGAGGGAGTGATAAGCTAGCAAAGCACATCATCTGCAATGAATAGCTTAATATGTGACTCAGTACCTTGAAATAGAGGGAGAGAATAGGGGGTTATTGCAAGAATGAGGATACTGCTTGCATCATAGTATAGATAAATCCAATCTCATAAACCAAATCCTTGTACCAAAACTAGAATACAACTCACTGGATTTTTTTTAATGAAGATTTTATGAGTTTTAAGGATCCTCAAAGCAAGGTAAATGAGCCAGCTAAGCCAACATGAACAAGAGTGCAACTGTAATGCAAACAAATATTTCACAATTAGGTGAAAGTTTTAGACACTGGTGTCAAACTTAAGGCCCGGGGGCCAGATCTGACTCGCCACCTTATTTTATGTGCCCCACAAAAGCAAATCATGTGTATCAACTTCCAGGATCCTTGCTAAAATCTGTAGCGAAATGTCAAGTTGTCATCTGTTATAAATAATGTTGAGATTTTGTAATAATTTGGTTGCATGTTTACATTCACTTGAAGAATAATTGAACAAACAACAAACAAATAGTTAACTTGAGTAAGTTCAAAACTAGTAATCCATCAATATGTTGTCTTCAAGTAATAATACGATGAGATGATTAAACATTTATTCAGTTTCACTGTCATAACAGCCCTCCAAGGAAGACGCAACTTCAGAGTGGCCCATGACAAACATGTGTTTGACACCCCTGGTTTAAGCAAACTCCTCCAGACAGACCCCATATTTGTTTCACATTATTTTATAGTCAAAATACTGTGTAAAAATCCTAAAGATGACACGTAAGACCTTTTTTTCACAATGTATGTTCTATGAGCGGCCTGGTGGTCCGGTGGTTAACGCGTCAACCTCACAGTGCGGAGGTACTGGGTTCAATTCCAACTCCGGCCTCCCTGTGTGGAGTTTGCATGTTCTCCCCAGGCCTGTGTGGGTTTTCTCCGGGTACTCCTTACTTGTGTAAGGACTTGTTAAGTTATTTTTTGCATTAATCACTTATTCAGCAGCTTATTCCAAACAGTTTTTTATATAACATACAGTGCATTGTTAAATATTTATTGAAAAAAAGAATAAATACAAAGTAATAGCTCATATACACATATATATATATATATATAAAACACCATCTCATGAAATTTACGACAATTCACTGTATGACAACGTCTCATAAATGAGGATATAAAATAGTTATGTGTTATATGTGAAAAATTACACCTCAACATGGTGTACAGATGTACCGATAACATTCTCTCCTTTCTTCTGTATTTCTGTGGTTTGGTGCC